CCCCCCCCCCCCCCCGCATACGAACTATCATTATTGTGTATTTCTCAAAGATGGTTTTCATATTGTACATCCTAATCAATTGCCTAATTGCTTTGTGATCCACCTGAACCTCTCTTACTTTGATCGGAAGGGTTCCTGCAAAAGCACACTAATGACGGATGTTTACGGCGCATTATTTCCTTCCGTGCAAATTGGTTATACCGTTTTCGGCAAGAAACGCAAGTGAAATGGCTGCTTCTTGGCGCAGGTGCCATCATATTGTGCACTACCGTCCTTGAAAAATAAAGTAAAACACCTTCGCCATTCTCACCATCCTGTATTCCTATTTTCTCTTGTCTCTCGTCAAGCTCTTGTCTGTAATGGATTTAGTAGGTCTACGTTTTCTATTAATTGGGGACAATGAATGGGAAGGAGTGTTATGTGTAGAGCGCTTCATTCCTCCTTCCCCTTTGAGCCACCCCCTTCACCCCCCCCCCCTCCCCAACTGGCTCCTTTTTCATCCGTAACTATCTGATCGCATTATAGGCAGCAATTATACGCGTTATACCCTAACAGCGTATTGGCTATTACACAGCACAATCAATCGCTTTTTCAGGAAACCTTTTTATATATGTAAAAATGCTGTGCATTCATTGTAGCTAAATTAAAACAACAGAGAACACCCTCTGAGATACCTACAACCAGTGGTGTAAATCTGTGCCGACGAGTCGGGGGAAGACGGATGACCACACGGCAGAGTACTAAAATTGCCCCGCAGTGAACAATTTTGAATAGAGGGCGGAGGGGATAGAAACCACGTGACACTAGGGGACGCTGTTTATGATACAAATGTACATATGCTGCGCACATACGCCCTAAGCTATTTTGCATAAAACTGTGCATTGAAATCTTGTGTATTGTGTTCACCGTTTTGGGAGAATAAATGTTTAATAAATTAATATAGTTCGAAGAAAACCTCAAACCCGGAATTCTTGTTGATCACAACACAAGTCTTGGCGGGGGACAAAGAGTGGGGGAACACAAATCATCCGGCATCCCCGCCCCCCCCCCCCAATTCCGCCCATGCATACAACGCATAAGAACGATCGTTATTGTGTATTTCTCAAGGATGTTTTCATAATGTACATCTTAATAATTTATTGCCTAATATAATAATGATAATACCGGATATAGTGTTAGTAATTATTGGATTTGAACAGCGCCCCCATTGAAAGTATTGAAAGTATGGTATGAGCCTTTAATTGGGAACACTATGAATTGGAAGGAGTGTTATGTGTAGAACGCTTCATTCCTCCTTCATCTTTGATGAGCCACTCCCCTTCACCCCTCTTTTCCCTGCTGGCTCCTCTTTCATCCGTAACAGAAAAACTATCTGATCACAACACGTCATAAAACAGCAGTTATTTCCCAACAAGGTGTAGGGTGTTGCACAGCACAATTTATTAAGCAACAAAACACCTTTGGTTAGGCCCCCCCAAAAATAAGTCGGTCTCTGGTCAGTGCGCGCGTCGATTTTAATCATGCACGTCAATCTTTTTTTTCCAAAATGTTCCGCGGTAGCTCCAACAGCGCCCTCTATTGCCGCACCATCTCATTTTTTTACCAAAGAGCACAAAGGAATGGGAAATTGCACCAAGGCAAATGATCGAGAGCACTAAGGCAAATTATGGAGGACACCAATGTACATGAGGACACCAAATAGCAAAATAGTACCCCACATTGTTTGTACAATCCAAGCTTGAAGAAAAAAAAAGCCAATAAAAAAAAAAAGAACTTTGGTCTGACCAGAGACCGAACATTTTTTTTGTTGGCCTTACCCTCAGTTTGCTTTCTTAACATAGCTTTTTTTGTGCACTTTACTCTTGAGGGTTTGAAGCAAGTAAAAGGTTAAGATCTTATTCGGACCTAAAAGAACAAGTACCAAGTGGTACGTGGTTCCCCCACGAACGGTTTACCGCGAATTTTGCAATGCAATGGGGCGTGATCTAATATTCAAATTAGACGCATGCGCATCAGTGTCACAAAGCTGTAGGTATTCCATGGAACTCACTGGCAAAAGCTGCGATACACGCGTGGCATGGAAGAGAGAATACACCACGTCCTTGGTACAATTGCAAATCGATTACATTGTGTTTAGCCTTAGCGGAGGAGTGTGCTCTCTGAGTGCTTTATAGTTTTAATGAAGATGAACATTTGTATTGGGTTTATTTGTAGATCCTGAATATCCAGGTTATAGATATTAATATTTTCAAAATGTGATAACATAGATGTCCAGTCGAAATTTAATGGACATGGAAGTGCCCGATTGTAAACGGCACCGAATATGAGTGTACGGTATGCTTGCAGTGTCGTATTTTGACACGGGTTCTTTCTCATGGTGAGCTGGCTAGGTGGGGGTAATAAGAATAATAAGAAAGGAATAAAACAAAATATGTCATTAAGTCATATAGGTCCCTAGCTAGCTAGGTGGGATAATAAGAATGATAAGAAAGGAGTAAACAAAATATGTCATTAAGTCTAATAGGTCCCTGGCTAGCTAGATGGGATAATAAGAATGATAAGAAAGGAGTAAACAAAATATGTCATTAAGTCTAATAGGTCCCTAGCTAGCTAGATGGGATAATAAGAATGATAAGAAAGGGGTACACAAAATATGTCATTAAGTCTAATAGTCCCTAGCTAGCTAAGTGGGATAATAAGAATAATAAGAAAGGAATAAAACAAAAATATGTCCTTAAGTCTAATAGGTCCCTTTGGCGCATGAAGTCGCGCTAATTATGTTAGTATATAACTTAAAGGTACGTATGATTTCTATGATTTCTTACGTATGATTTCTTTCTTTTCGTTTGAAGCAATGAAATTGCTCAAAATCGTAAATGGAGTGTATATCATAAACAACTATTTTGTTGACTATTATTCAATAGCCACAGGAAGCACTGTGCCTAGGACCTGCGATAATATTCTGGGGCCTACGAAAAGCTTGAGGGCCTACACTGTAAAAAAAAAAATAAAGCATTTCTTGACCAACTGCTTGCCCTAAATTGGTGTAAATATCAACTTAGACCAGAAGATGGGTAAAATATAAATTACCAGCTAATGATTACACAGCCTTTCCCAATCAATTGGTCAATTAAAAATTTCCATTTTATTGGTCAAATTATCTTACACAATTAGATGGCAAGTTGGATTTGACCAATACATGGAGCATATACTCAATCAATTAATGGCCAACTAAACTTCAACAACATTGGTGTCTCGATATGTTCTCATAAAGTGGTCACTGGTTTTTCACCAACGTTTATAAAGTCTATTATCACATTTAACGGTCAACTATGATGACAAGAAAATTGGTCAGGCTTATTTTCACATTGTGCAACAAGACATATTTTTCATACATCACTGTAAAAACGTTGGGCAAAATGAGTCGATATGTATGTAGACCGGTGATGGTGAACATATCAACAGGTTGAACTCTTGTGCAAATTGTCCCAATAATTGGCAAAATTGTTACCCAAATCAATTTTCAAACCAATGTTTGGTAAAATTACATTGCCCAGCAGTGTTTTGCCCAACATTTTTACAGTGATATAGTTGTCAAGAAACACATATAAATTCACAGATATCACTTGGGCTCACGTCCTACATAACATTATGTCAAAACGGCCATCATAAATTTATCAATTTAAAGTAATTTTCAGCACATTACGCCCACTTTATGAGCTTTGTGCCATACGGTTAAATATAAAATGGTCCGCTTCAAAATTTGCACTTATTGATTGCCATGCTGTTGCCAACTAATATTGTTGCATCGATAATATGCCTTTGACATGTCCAACTGGGAGGACAACATACCCAGCAAGGGGCGGATACAGGAATGTTCGCAGTGTGGATTTCATCATAAGCAAATAATTCTGAAATGTAGACAGGTTTTTTTTCTCGGGACACTTTGCCTCCGAAAATCAATATGGGGGTTGGGTTGTCTAGTGCCTTTCACCAAGTAATTGAGCACCAGTAGTTTAGGAAATGACAACCGACTCACACTAAAACTGAATGACCAACTTGTGGACATTTTAGCTTTACCAAACATTTCAATACCCACGTTGCGATGATCTGGTCAAATTTTCTTCACTATGATTACCAAATTCTAGACAATGTAGCTTTACCCAACGTTTCAATGCCCAATGTTACCCGATTTAGAGGACAACAAACCCAACTCAGCTTGGGCAAAGGACGTTCAAATGTTCTACAACAATTGTGGTCTTAATTCCTTTACCAAATTAGAGCACCAGGAGTTGGGTAAATGAAAAAAAGACCAACATCTTCACTAAAAAGGACGCACATCTTAACAAATCAGCATTAATCAACGTTTTAATGCCCAATAACCAACGTTTTAATACCCAATGTTACCCAATTGAGAGGACAAAAAATACCCAACTCAGTTAGGGTAAGTAACATTTCGACAGTGTACGAAAATACCACAGTGTGGCCTGGCCTTCTTAGTTCAGGAAACAAACAATCTTATACGCAATTTTTTAGGGTTTTGTAACTGGATTCCGTTGCTAGCGTAGCGTGCCAGGACCCTGGGCACCCTATTTTCAAACCCACCATCAATGTCAGTTTTCTTCCAAACGATATACCATTTAAGGGGAAACAATTACACAAAGTGCGCTATTTCGATATTAGTCCTTGAATTTTTCATGTTTTTTTTCTGGGCATTTGCTAATCATCCCAATGATCGTTAGTAGGTTGACCAAACAGACAGCACTCGTTACGGCGTCTGTTTTTCATGACGATAGTTATATTTATTACCATTTTGTTCTGTGCTTAATTATCCGTATCCTTTTTTAGGTGGAACGGATGCACTAAGTGGATTTTGTTTGTGATGTCGGTTCCCCGGACAGTGCTAATTCTGCTGCGATAATGTTTTCAAGGATGGCGCCATACGCATAATAAACGACGTAATAAGCGATGGTCAGCCTATAGTAGAGTCTTTCCACGCATCTGATCTTCACAATGGGCCGGGTTTAGCCAATTTCTTGGCGTTATGGGGTAGTCATAGGGCCTATACCCATATCATTGCCAGGCTCTCTTCTCCAGCCTATGACCAGTGGCGTAGCCAGTATTTTTCCAGTGGGAAGTCCCGGGGGGGGGGGGCACCAGCAAGTGAGAGACTTGTGGTACTTGGTGCGCTACATATGTCGCAGGCGACTCATATACCTTAATTATTAAAGATATAATTAGGCAATGAAATTGGTTCCCTGATGCGGTTAAAAGACCGGTATCCTTGGTGAAAATATACTGTGTCACTTCTACGCCAAGGTCGAGCTGTAGTACGTCCATACACTTGACTGACTAGTTTCCGACTATTTCAGTGGAGAAGTTGGAAATACCTGGCCTGTCACTGAATGCTGGAGGCAAGCAAATGGGTAATAGTTTCTTCTCTATATCGGAGATTCTGCTGTGCTGCATCCAGTATGCTTACTGCGATCTTACAGGTATGAAATTACAAAATGTTTACAGGTATATACGTATACGTAGGACCATTTGTTTTTGTGCAATTTTGTGCACGGCAGCCAACCTGTTGAAGTTTCATTCTATACGTTTTGAAAAATCACAGAAACACATTGCACATTGTTTGATCTCGAAAGTGGCTTCCGTTGCTAGAGATTCCGTTTCAGAAGTTGCTGTTCCGTATTTTGAATTTCATAAAATCCCCAAATCAGTACTCTGGACACGATTCTTATTCAGACGGTCAGTGTACGTGACGTCGATGTTCCATTGGCTGGCTAATCTTGGCAGTTTTTGATTAACGAATCCCGTTGGCACAATTACTCAAAACCATATGGATTGTTTTCTTCAGAACAATACCATTTTTGTAGTCCATTTTAAGTTCACTATTAGTAACTACTCGTGCATCTATTCAAAGGTTGGTATTTGGACTGATTTCAGATTTTCCATCCTATTAACATAATGTTTCAACACCAAGTTTCAACAAGATCAGGCATTCCCTTATATGTGTTTGCTTTTTAAATGGACATTTTGACGTCATAACGACGTTACAACCCCAAACTTAAAAAGTCAACGCGAAATTAGAACTGTCAACTCGAAACTCTAATTCAACTCGAAACTTGAAAATTCAACTAAATAAAACACGAAAAGAAACTCGAAAAGTCAACCCAAACTCAAAAAGTCAACGCAAAAAATTCGAGAGTTTTGAACGGCAAGCTTTTACATGTACATGATCACGCACGCATATTCTGCAATCATTAATTTTGGGTAGTTTAGAACTTGTGTACAATGCTTTTATCCAAGTTCCGTTCATAAGTACTGCCCTCGATCTTTCCACAAAATTAAGCATGCTGATATTCAACATGGTATCTTAACGAGGTATTTAGATGATTCCAAACACATACAATGTGAGTCACAACAATTGTCGGTTTGGATTAGTTCTTGTCTCCCACAAAAGCGGGAAAAGATACCAGGGTTATCTCTCATCCAACAATCAGTCTGTGTATTGACCATGTTCAGTAAAACCCTCACTGATATTCAGCCATGCATGAAAGGAAACAGGCCTTACTTTGTGACTACCCGAAAACACGGGGCCGCCCGATAGTCCGAAGGTCCAATAGTCCGAAGATTCTTAGTCCGAAGGTTCGATAGTCCGAATGCACAAAAATTCCATAAGAGGGGGTTCGTTAGTCCGAAAATGAATTAAGGTTCGTTATAATCCGAGTATTTCGATGCAATAGTCCAAAGGCTTATTAATCCGAAAGTTCATTAGTCCGAAGGTTCAGTAGTCTGAATTTAGAATACGATTAATCAGTCCGAAGATTTAGTAGTCCGAAACGAAAATAAGGTTCAATAGTCCGAAGGCTCATTATTCCGAATTGAAAATAAGGTTCGATAGTCCGATTCGACAGTAAGGTCCGTTATTCCGAATCGACAATAAGGTCTGATAGTCCGAATCAAGTTTAAGGTCCGAAGGTCCAAAGTGTCAGACTGACGATCCGTATTGTCCATTCGGACTATCGAACCTTATTGTCAATTCGGACTATTGAACCTTATTGTCAATTCGGGCTATCGAACCTTATTGACGATTCGGGCTATCGAACCCTACCGTATATTCGGACTATCGAACCTTATCATCTATTCGGGCTATATCGAACCTTGTTGTCGTCTATTTGGACTATCGATCGAGCCTTCGGATTATTGAACCTTAGTTTGTTTTCGGACTAAACAAATGGGCCCTTCAGACTATCGAACCTTCATACTATCGGGCTGTAACCGAAAACACTGCCAGCACAATGTTCAGAATATGTCTCTTGCTAACACAAAAGCAACAATAGGCCTCTAGACAATGAAGGAAATATAAACAACAGGGCAGAATATGAATGAAATGGAATTACATGTATTGAACTTGTATCTGAATTACTGAAAAGGTTCACATTTTCACTGTCCTGCTGAATCACCCTTCCACCTGTCTGCCGATCAGTGCAATGCATAGTTGAGGCAAAAAACACGGATGGCCTCCGCAGAGCTAATTAATGCAGACACGAGTACACTAGTATACAGACACACCTACAACTATGCATTGCTCTAAATGGCAGTCTTTGGCAGAGAGGTGGAAGGTCCAGCAGCAGAACAGTGAAAATGTGAATTAAGAAAATGAAGTAATTAAAAAAAACAGAACCAATTAAAGGCTTTTCCGCAAATTTGCAGAAAAGCCCCCAAAAATCAGAACAAAAAGAAAGATTTGCGAGAAAAGCAAAAAACAAATATCGGAATAAAAAGATTTTTTTTCCCCGCAACTTTGCGGAAAAGCCCAAAACTGAAGAAAACCATGTTGGGCAGTCATTAGGTGTCATTATTATTTCCGTTTTCGATCTTAATTTGCTTTGAATTGAGAAAGTATATCATTCATTTTCGCGCTTCTGTCATTTATATTCAGTACGTGCATTCCCGATCCTCGGCGAAAGAGGAGATGGAAGCGTAAAAACAATGACACTCGAATGACCGAGGCATAGCAACTTGATGATGAAAAACACATTTGCTTTAAGACGAATTTATTGATCTATGACAAAAATAATAGATAATAAACGTATACATACCCCTTAGCGTGAATACATTTTTACCCGAGTTAATTGCGTGAAAAAAAATCATTGCAGTATATACAGGGTGAGTAAAAAAAAGCAAAACCCAAACCCCAACAAATATATTTCATATTTAAAAAAATATGTAGCACCGAACATAATAATGATGACTGGGAAGCCTGGGAAGCCAATTTCATAAGCTACTTTTAGAAGAAAAAATACTGAAATTGCTCAATCCGTTCAAAGAATATCACCAATTAAACGCAATGACCGGAAAACCTGTTTCGTCCAAACAAACACAGTTTAGTGTTTATTCTGACTGTTTGCGACGACAAAGAAAATGACAAAGAATACTTGTTTCAACAACTGTCAACAACTGTAGTATATAGGCCTACATAATATCTCTATTAACAACACTGATTAGGCAAACAATTTGATTTATAAAATCCACTTTTTTAAAAGACGGGCCTTCAAAAGGACTTTGTTGAATAATTTTAACTTTAAACTGAGGTTTTATCGCTGGTGATGTTTAAAGACAGTTGTGACGACGATTCTTCAAATCGCATTTTTGGATGAAAGAGGTTTTAGAGTCATTGTTGTAATGTTCTTTGAACGGATTGAGCAAATTCAGTATCTTTTTTTTTTAAGGTATAGCTTAAAAAATTGGCTTTCTAGCCATTACTTTGTTAAATTGATGCTTAATATTTTTTTTAATATGAAATATATATATTTTTTTGCGTTTCGGTTCCGCTGTTATAACTCACCCTGTACATCGATCTATACTCAAAACGATAGCTTTGAATACTGATGTCCTTTTGGTCTATTTTGAAAAGAGACCATTTCTCGGGGAAAGGAAAGGGAAATTGTTTTGTCCCTTTTTTATCAAAATGTACACAATCCACCGGGCTAAAACTTCATCAAGTTAGTTGTTTGGCACCCTTTCTAAAATGTTGAGCACTTTTGGAGCTTCACGTGAAAGATTAATTATCCCTAGTCCTACAGAAAGACAAGTGGTTATGTTATCGTAGCACAACTGCCGAAAATGAATACATTGATGTCATTGACTGCAAACACCGTGATTTGGTTTCTTTTACACAGCCCTTCCGCTTGTCAACAAGCAAGCATGGCAGAGCACTAGCGGAGGGCCCGCTGGGAGGGCGATTAACAATTCCTACCAAACGTTCCAATACACTGGTAAGACCACTCAATGTGTGTTTATGGTGTAAATCGAGGATTTTCTTTTGTTCCCCTTTCCTTTTCCTTTGTTTGTACTTGAACTTTTTCGCAACAGCTCTCATTGGTTTTGTACACGTTTTCTAATCGAGTTCGTCCTCGATTTGGTTCCTGTCCTCCATTCACCAATGATGTTGCACGTGAGTGTCCTTAATTTTATACACAATAAACACGCAATGAAGTCGCGTTTAACAATATATTTTGTGACAGATTGGTGCAAGCGGACATGTTTCAGGGAAAGAAAGTTGAAAATGTGTACATATCATTTCTGTAAAAACAGTCTAGCAATCATTCTACTATGGTGGGTTTAAAGGGACATCGCACATATATATTGACGCCAATATTGACGCCAATATTCACGACATGGACCCAAGTCGCAAATATTTGCGCCAATATTGACGCCAATATTCACGACATGGACCCAAGTCGCAAATATTGACGCCAATATTGACGCCAATATTCACGACATGGTCTCCAAGTCGCAAATATTGACTCCAATATTGACGCCAATATTCACGACATGGACCCAAGTCGCAAATATTGACGCCAATATTGACGCCAATTTTCACGACATGGTCTCCAAGTCGCAAATATTGACGCCAATATTGACGCCAATATTCACGACATGGCCTCTATGTCGCAAATATTGACGCCAATATTGACGCCAATATTCACGACATGGTCTCCATGTCGCATATATTCACGCCAATATTGACGCCAATATTCACGACAGGCCCAAGTTGTAAACCCACTCATGCGTGAATTTCTTTTTCACAGCAACTTGACCTGGCTCAAGGTAGCCGCGGATTCGGCCGGATTTCTAGCCGCGTATTCAACTGCGTATTCAGCCACGCATTCACCAAAAGTCAAACAATCTTTTTTTCAAATGAAGCATTTAATTTTCAACATCTCTAAAAGCGTTGAAAAATTACATGAAATGTGATTACTTCCATTAAGTAGCTAATTTATAAGTTATTATTGCATCAACATTTCAAACATCGTTTTGAAATGGTTGGTTATTTTGTGAATTTTGATACAGCGTGAAAAAAAAATATTGATAATTGTCGTTTATTTTGAAAAATTCGTTAAATAAAGTAAATTATCTATCTGGAAAATAGATCACCTTTTGCAGCATGTAGTATAGATTGTTTGACTTTTGGTGAATGCGCGGCTGAATACGCAGTTGAATACGCTGCTAGAAATCCGGCCAAATCCGCGGCTACCTTGAGCCAGGTCAAGTTGCTGTCAACAAAAAATTACGCATAAGTTGGGCCTGTCGTGAATATTTGCGTCAATACTGGCGTGAATATATGCGACATGGAGACCATGTCGTGAATATTGGCGTCAATATTTGCGACTTGGGTCCATATCGTGAATATTGGCGTCAATATTGGCGTCAATATGTGCGACTTGGGTCCATGTCGTGAATATTGGCGTCAATATTGGCGTCAATATTTGAGACTTGGGTCTATGTCGTGAGTATTATTAATCGTAAAGTTCTCCTTGCCACAAACGAAATGGTATTACAAAAGCAATAAAATGAATGACCAACAAATAAGAATACCCTCATTATTACAGTCCACTAAAAACGAAATCTTTCAGTGCAAAGGTGGAATTGAAATTTACATTGAAGCCCAACGATGTTGAGGAACGAAATTAAAGTGTCTTTTCATCGAATGTATTAACTGGGGAAACCTATAATCTACCTCATTGTCTTGTTTATGGATTCCTACCAGACACTGGGGACCCTCATCCGTGGTGGATTGTCGATTTAGATGGGGAACACTGCTTGGGCAGAGTTACTGTCACACTTCGGACAGGATGCTGCGGTAAGTTCCGACGAAAGACCTGACCGACCTTCCAACCGACCTTCGGACCTAAATAACAACTGACTACTGACCAACCAACAGGTAGACCGACCGACCGAACAGGCGACCGACGTACCGACTGACTGACCAATTCAACATTGGACCTCCAACCAACCACCGGCCATAGACCTTCCGACCGACCTTCCGACCGACCGACCGACCGACCGACCGACCAACCGACCAACGGACATGCTAGTGAACGTGACCACGAACCAACCGACCAGCGCCGTCGGCGTTGTTGTCGTTTGTTGTTTGCTTGTCGTTCATAAGTAAATTCCTTTCTCCTAATCAGGCCAGCACCGCTTTACCGGCGCATTAGTCCGGGCAGGACTGAACATGAATGTGACCAATGATCCAAGCCCACCATGCGGCTCCCCAGCCTTCAGGAATCAGTCCTCGGACGGGGCAACCAACAAATTCCTGTGCGATCCGCCGCGAATGGCCCGCTATGTTAGCCTGGATATAAACATCTCTCGTCCAGGTGTGACGGCCAGCAACGCTTATCTGCAACTGGCAGAGGTCAATTTGGAGGAATACACGTCTGGAGAGTGTGATGCGCCGAAAATCGGAAAGTCCTGAGGGAAAGGTTATCCACTTTTTTGTGGGACTATATTTTTAATCAGTTACTTCATCATTTCAATACTCTGTGCCTGTAGAAAGCCCTTTTTTCACAAGTGTTTTTTTTTTTCACGAGCGCCCTTTTTTTGAATGTCGCGTGAACGTTAATGGAGGCCGGGTGGCCAGTGAACAAAAATGTCCAGCTTTCAGCAAGGATATGGCCAGTGCCCTTTTTTCACGTCTAAACCACATCCCTTATAAAAATGCCCTTGCCTGAACTGGGGGAACTTAATGGACGTTATTGACAACAAAAAGCTGTATTTTGCCTTTCCCCAGATGCTGAGTTAGCAGGGGAAGGGAAGACCAAGATGCACTTTGACCTCAAGCAGGAGAGGGCGTGCCTCTGATAGTTTACGCCACTCATTTAAAGATATATATATGTATAGATTTTTAAGTTATAGATTTTTCAGATGCGATGAAAAGGGCACCTACATTAATTTATTTGATCTCGAATTGGTTCCTGGGTATGCCAACACGCGAACAAACGTTGTCTCTCCTGATTCCATTGTGTAAGAATTGGGAAAAAAAAGTTATGTTATCAATGTAGATCTGGTGGCGATTTCCAACTCACATGTTGTTGGGTTGGGTGCCAAAATAAGGAGGCCAGTCCAGAGCAAGTTGAAAACAACTTCAACCACCCTAACATAGCCTTCCCCTTGTTTGTTGGCCTTTCAGCATCATTGCCCAAGTTTGGCAACTTCGTTCGTCTACACGAGGGAGTCTCGGTGAGAATTTCAGCCCCGTTATCCATCAAACGGTTCACATCGCTGCTTCGCTGTGCCGCGAGCTGCACCAGGTATACTGGCTGCGTTTCCTTCGACTTCGTGTCGGGCACCAGCGAGTGTCGTCTGCACGATGAACATCCAACAGAGATGGAGCTGGCGACGAATGGTCACTTTGCAGTCTATGCTTTGGTGTAAAAAAGTAAAATTGAGAGTAGTCCCTACTGTGAGCACAAGAGGGCGCTATTGCGGCGTCATGTTAGCGGTACAGGTAGACGTAAATCCCATGCAGGTTACTGCAGGCTAAAAAAATTGCAGAATTAATGTTTTAGATTAAAATTAAGTTTCTAAATTTCCTCAATAAACGTGATACTTCCTCTGATTGTACCAAGACGACGGTGTCAATTACAGCGCACTCATTAGCTAGAAATAATAGCCTATAGTAGGCCAAAAAAAAAAAATAAGTCGGTCTCTGGTCAGCGCGCGCGTCGATTTTAATCATGCGCGTCAATCTTTTTTTCCCCCAATATGTTCCGCGGTAGCTCCAACAGCGCCCTCTATTGCCGCACCTCCTCAATTTTTTTTTTACGAAAGAGCACCAAGGAATGGGAAATTGCACCAAGGCAAATGATCGAGAGCATCAACTTGAAGGCAAATTATGGAGGACACCAATGTACATGAGGACACCAAATAGCAAAATAGTACCCCACCTTGTCTGTACAATCCAAGCTTGAAGAAAAAAAAAAGCCAAAAAGAAAAAGAAAAAAAGACGCGTCCCTGCGTCAATTCCGGAACTTTGGTCTGACCAGAGACCGAATTTTTTTTTTTTGGCCTTATCGCTTACCAACATTTACATTAATAAACCCATTTTTCCGCAATGATCTTGAATCCTCATGTATTTTGCAAAAGTAACGATAAACGGAGCTGTAGGCCTACAGCCACTTTGGTGCGATGTGATACACGAAGAGGCTCTTTTATGTATATATATATTTTTTTTTCCAGAGGGGTCATATCTCCTTTAATAGTAATTTTAATATCGGGTTTCGTCCTTCACCGAAGCAAGTTTACAAACACTGTATGGTGTATACTAAAAAAAGGGAACCCAGATGTAAATGCAAATTATAATTAATGTATTAATTATTTTCAATTAAGTGAAAGATCATGTGAAACGCCAATGTCCTCTTTCCAATGATACCCTGATTGTGTGTCTGTGGCCATGGATGACTGAGCATTCGTTGTTATTCTGTCAAGGGTCAAAACCTGTTCTGGACCAAGTTTTACTTGGCTAAGATTGCAAGGTATCATTGATACACACAATCAAGGTATCATGATCTTTAACTTATCCAAAATATTTATTACATTTTACTTCTTAAAAGTTACATTCATAATTATCTGGGTTTCCTTTTTTAATACACCCTGTATAGTTTGCAGTGTCGCTCGAAGGCATGCGAAACAAAACAATCATATGGCTTACCGGGTGGGACTCGAACCCACAACCTTTTGCAGACTGGTGCAGACGTCTTACAAGTGCCTAGTTCCAACAACCTATACAATTTCTGGTAAGCATTCAGTTTATATATACCTTGATGAAGGGCAAAACCCGAGATTACCACTACCCGACTCAATGTCATCGTATATAGAAACATAATTTTGGGTGTTTTTTTGTTTCGTTAATAAATGTCTTTGCTTACTGGATCCAGTTAAACATTTTAATTTGCACAAACATATATTCTGGAGATGTTTTGTAGCTGGAACTTCTCGATAGTTAGAATTACTTTTTAAATAATTATCCTTATATTGTTTACCGGTAGCATGCATGATTTCAAGAATAGGGACAAACACCAGCAGGTTTTAGAAGAAATTGCAAAACAACTGGAGCATTTGTCCAGCTTGCCCATTTATGGTCGCTGACAACGTCGCTGACACTTTCGTTGTGGGCCGCCATCTTGAAATCGCGTGAACTGAGTATGCACTTTCATTGGCTAGTTACTTCTTTTGGCTCAGCACTTAGCTCAGATTTCCTGCACACGGTGACTTCACCTCGCATAGAGCGAAAAAAAATATCAAGCAGGGGAGATATTTGCCTCCGCAAGGCAGAAAACACAGCAAAACAAATGATCGCACACGGTGACCTGTGTGAGAAAACGACCACGAATGACTTTTTGCTCCAAATAATTGTCGGACGTAAAAATTAAAAAAGGGGCTTTGTGTAAATGGTCGGAATTTGGGAATATACATCATTATTTAAAGGCACGTCTAATATGAACATGAGCAATTACCCCGAAATGTACTTACCGACTTAACGAGAGAACGCCTTACTCAAAGTGAAGACAGACACATGTACCAAATACTCTGAAATTATTCTGCCTGGAATAATCGATCGGAAAGAAGTTAAGAAAGCGTGCCCCACTAGGGCACAGTTCTTTACGTGCGTTTAGCATGCAGGAGAATCCGTATACGATACCCAACAAATTTCTCAATTTATTTATTTATTTATTTATTTCTTATTTCAACTGGGTGGCCCATTCAGTGGAATCCTCTGGTCTCCCATGGGTCCCAGCATACATAAAACACAATAGACATAACAAACAATTAACATTACTGAGAAAATCACATTAATTTTAAAAGTCATCAAGCAAAGAAATAAAGCCTTCCCTCCCAAAGCATTTACCAGAAGCATTAATTGTAATTTACATATCAAAAAACCCACAAGATGCATATGAATAAAACGAAACTATAAAACTGACGACTCATGGTGTATAAAAAGACCTCTTAAAAATCCACTAACGATTGTGTATGCACATATGAACCCTCCCAAAGCAAATTACCATAAGCATTAATCTACACGTTAAAAACCCACTAGCTGAGCTGAAACTTCAACAAGTTATAGTTGTCATGCACCCTTCTTAAGATTTTGAGCAATTCTGTTGCTTCAAACGAAACACTGCACAAAAAGCAAACGATCCTGTATCTTTTTTTTTAACTGAAATGAGTAGTCTGTCAATGTTTAAGCAAGATAGAGAGACCATATAGTTAACTTAATATTGTAAAGAGAAGAGAAAAAAAAAGAAAAATAAATGTTTACCAACGCTTTTCAAACGCAAAGTAGGCAAGTTACTCTACAATCCCATAAGATTATGAATATTTTAAATATTTACGGTTTATATGACAGTGGGTCAAGTTTGCTAATTTTGAATTCTGTTCAATTTGCATGTCATGCTAACGAAATTTGTTGAGGGAAACTGGTTAAATATTTTTCGGTGTATTTGACTGGCCAACTCTAATGATAAATTGATTGATTTAGTTTAATCAATGGATGTTAATGCCCAAACGTCTGATATTATTTGTCTTGTGAAGGTTAAGGAAAGCTTGGGCCTACAATTTACAGATATTTTTAATATCGCACATCACAGCCATGCAGCCTGGTAGTATGGAGTTGAGGGTCGTTTTTACCATGAAGTGGACCTTTTCACCATAAAATGGACCTTACGTGTAATAAACAGTTGATTACGGGCATACTCAGTCTGGAATTTGTATCCTTGAGAGGGTGAGTCATTTCTTTGTTCTCAGAGTCGTCACATATTGTGTACTAAAATTTTAGAGTTTGAAAGTGTAGCTTCAAAATGCTCCTGTTTTAACCAGAATTAATTTCTTGGGCTAAAATTCGGACTTAATATCCCTAAGCCTTGGAAATTCCTAGTTTTTGAGTAAAATCCAAATATCTATTTCGTGATAACCTTGTGGTCTTTTGTTCGATCCCCATCGGCACGGCATGTCTCCACAGGGCACTGTGTATCAGATCGCATGGAACTCATACAAAAATCCCGAGGAAAAAAGTGGACCTGCGTCCGATTTTGTATGTGTGTGTGATGTGGGGGGGGGGGGGGGGTCGTCCCCTCCCAGATACGGGCCTGTAATTATTACATTTCGATTTGTATTTGTAATTGTGTATATGATTGTGTTATCACATAATCACATAGCTATTTCTTTTCTTTTCTCCCCCAACAAATCATGTCGTGATAATTTAGAAAAGTAGTGTTGTACAAGTAACTATAGCGTAGGGGGCCAAAGCTATAGAAGCTACCAAAGTTGAGCCTAACTTACTTTTCTTATGGACGTCAGTCGCGCATAATTATTCGTGTATTTGCCCACTTTTGGGCCGAGATCAAATTTGTGATGGCAAATTCAGTTAACTTTCTGTGAATCGCCCAACCAAAGTTTTTAAATGTTTTTTTTATTTTTTTTATTTATTGTTTAGCCAGTCGTCACTGTTATTGATCCACATTTTTTTTTTGCCGGCAGCTCTTATGGATATTACGTGTGTGATAATTCACAATAATAGGCCTACAATGTGTTTCCTACTTCTCTTCCTTGAAGTGAAAGGGTCCGAGTCTCCCTGCTCGCACGGCGAATTAGACTACCTCCATGATAGCCTGAATCGTATACTCTTTTTCTACAAGGAAAAAGAAAATTCTGACGATTTTGTAACAGAAACTGTTGGAATCCGTATAGGACGAGGTAATAGACCTCCATGGTAGCCTGAATCGTATACTCTTTTTATCTACAAGGAAAAAAAATTCTGACGATTTTGTAACAGAAACTGTTGGAATCCGTATGGGACGAGGCCTTAATTAGCGCAAATTTCGCGTAGGAAGCAACAAGAGCCAGGGCACAACATTATATAGACGACTCTGCCCATATATCATATTCATAAATACCTCAGACAGTTTAGCCATTCCTATTGGTCGAGAGCCCGTCAGGTGGCCGGTATTAAACGGATGATAAAGACATGGCTAGCTGGTCTTAAACACTTTTCCAGTGTCACAATAAAATGTGGACTCCTAAAAATCCAGTGCCTCTTATCGTTTCATTGGTTGAACGTTCACAATCCTCACGTAGGCATGCGCAACACTACCAGGGAGTTAGAATTTTATAGTTCTAAATTCAAAACGCAACGCGCCAGGTGCGTTCTGCGCGACATCGCGTAGAACATGATACGCGCGCGTCAATCTCTATAAAAGGGTTGTTTTCATCTTACTCGCCAGCTGAACACTCCATTATTTTGCAGGAGGGATGTTTCAAAAAGCATAAAGTGAATTTGTTGAACAAAATCGGGATGTTTTGAACGAATTATATGATTTTTTTTTACCGAAAAGGTATTTATGAATGGGAATAAATATGTACTCCGTCGGTATTTATCACTCTGTTTAATACCACTTAGAGTCTGGGTGCTGATAATTACCCTCGCCTCCGGCTCGGGTAATTATCAGCACCCAGACTCTAAGTGGTATTAAACAGAGTGATAAAAACCTCCGGAGCACACATTTATTCCCTTAGTCAAACCCATATGAGGGGTCCCGCATATGAGTGCTGTGCCAGTGCAGTTTGCGGCTTTGAATGCCGTCCACGTGTACCATACAGCTCAACCGGTTTGGTCGCACCTAGCCTTCTTGCTTTTAGAACTTAAGAGAGACATTTTGTGCTAAGGTTTTTCCACAAAACGTTTACATTTCCGCTGTAAAAATATATATTTACATATGAATACATTTTCACAAACTAGTCCGATTAGTTCCTTCCCACGGGATATAAAAACTTTTTGTTTTCATGTCAATAAAATAATTAAGATTTAAGAGTACCGGATCGAGGCAGCCTTACATTATCTTCACTGAGTTAAAGGGTTCAAAATTTAGGCGGATGACTTTGTTACAAGGTCCATCATGTATACGTTAAATGACGTCCAGGTGGCGTACAGTACGGCAGCCGTCGACGTGGACGTATAAATTGATGCTCTAAATAAACCCTGAAAATAGTCCTGTATTTCAATTCATGGGAATCTCGCACGTGTTGCATTTCATCGTGAAAAACATGAAGGTTATTGTTGTTGCTTCGCTGGCCCTAGTGGCTATTATTTACCTCCTCCTACCTCAGGCTGCAGTTGCTGAGAAGAAGAAAGGGGCAAAAGTGACAGACATTGTAAGTTTGCAAAATTGCATGATGCAGTAACGCTAGGTGGCTATTTGGGTGCCGGGGTTAGTACGTAGACCCGTGAACGGCAGACATGGCAGACAGGGCTCTGGATAGCCCCATAAATGTGGCCTATTTACTGGACTGCCTCCGTAAACATAGGCCACACATCCACATGTACAAAAATCGTGTCGACTTTGCCAAATTTTGATTTTCACATTTAGGCTTAGTTTGTAGGATTTTTTTGCTTTAGAACTAGAAGCATACTCACCCTCTTTATAGGCTAGTCAGAACATGGAGAAATAAAGTGCTGCCTTTTTCAGATGTCTATTTTTTGTGAAATTTCATGTTGAAATTTTGATACGCAATTAAACGTGTAAAAATGAATCTGGAAAAAAAGCAAAAAAAACCTACAAACTAAGCCTAAATGTGAAAATCAAAATTTGGCAAAGTCGACACGATTTTTGTACATGTGGATGTGTGGCCTATGTTTACGGAGGCAGTCCAGTAAATAGGCCACATTTATGGGGCTAGGCTCTGGAGTGCTCTGAAACGTGCAAAACTAAATCAGGCCCACTTTACTCACAGTTTAGTCAGCAAATTTCTCCAAAAATTGCACTGGGGCAAAGAACATGTTCTCAGTATTTCACCAACCAAGTTTGCAGACTCAATTCTATTTTTAAAGGAGATTTTTCTTCAATATTTTGCACATGAGAGGGAAGTCAAGTGACAGGCCGTGTCCGAAACGGGCTTCCAGAGCTACGTCTATTGTCAGCGCGTCCCCGCGTATTTTCAATGGGCGCAGACCTAGACATGCTAGACCTAGCTCTAGACAACTGATTCGGATGCAGTTCTAGGCCAAGTTCGGGCAAGGACCATTAGTCGACTAGTGGTTGATTTGTGACGTACCTTACGCCTGCGCACTAATAGCAAAGTGCGAACGTCTCTAGTCGAACGCTGGTCAACATGTCATTGCGAAACGTCTGGATCCTGGCTCCCTGCTGTACGTTATGAACGCGCGCGGCTATGGTTACCAGCGATGCAACCAGCCCCAGTAGGTTGGTTCCAAATAGTCGACTAGCGTAGTTAACCATCGTCGACTAGACAGAGTTCGGGCAAGCGTTAGTCGACCAATGGTTAACTATAGTCCTTGCGCGAACTTGCCCCTATCTTCAAAATGGGGCTAAAGACTAGACTGGCACATGTCCAACCATGGTCCAACTATTTGAAAAGAATGACTTCTTCATTCAGTGTCAATAGTCTGGTGGCTTGACTATGGAGAAATGTGAGTAAATTGAGTCTAGTTCCCGCTTCAAGCCACATTTTTCTTAAATTCTTTTTGGATGGTTGATTGATGCAGTACTGAAGCTGTGTTGGACTGGTTGTTTTAGGTGCCAGTCTATTTTCTTGTTTTGCATGTTTTCAATACCTTAAGTTTTGGGACTCTCATACACAGTATTGAGAGTCCCAAATTTTCAGACTACGTGAACAGGTGAACGTGGCGTGTTGTATACACAATTACAACTTACAAGCCACGTTCACGGGTCTAGGTGCCGGTATCGGTCCATGACTAGTCCGAGTAACTAGGACCCTAGCTAGGACTCTACAGCTACAGATCGCTTTTTTAACATTTGGACATGGTCGGGCGTAGCCCCATAAATGTGGCCTATTTACTGGACTGCCTCCGTAAACATAGGCCACACATCCGCATGTACACAAATCGTGTCGACTTTGCCAAATTTTGATTTTCACATTTAGGCTTACTTTGTAGGTTTTTTTTGCTTTAGAAGCATTCTCACACTCTATATAGGCTAATCAGAAAGTGCTGCCTTTTTCAGATGTATATTTTTCGTGAAATTTCCAGATTCATTTTTACACGTTTGCGTATCAAAATTTCAACATGAAATTTCACAAAAATTAGAGACATCTGAAAAAGGCAGCACTTTCTGACTAGCCTATAAAGAGGGTGAGTATGCTTCTAAAGCCAAAAAATCCTACAAACTAAGCCTAAATGTGAAAATCAAAATTTGGCAAAGTCGACACGATTTTTGTACATGTGGATGTGTGGCCTATGTTTACGGAGGCAGTCCAGTATTTAATAGGCCACATTTATGGGGCTAGGTCGGGCGTAGCTCTACTGAGTGGAGCTTTGAATTACGGGTACCCCTCCATACCAACGCTCCACCGATTTGCCACACTTTGGTGACACCGTCACAGTAGCAAAGTCACAAACCCACGCGAGGACAAAAAGACCCCAAAAAAAACGGTAAAGAGAATACAAATGAGAGAGACAGTTATCCAGGATTGATCTATACATTCTTCACATTTCCATGAGACCCCTTATATTGTTCCCAAACAGCGAAAAATTTGAAAAAAATAGTCTGAAAACTTACAGCTCAAGTGTGTTTGCAGGGAGGCTCAGTTCTTGAATCGACTTGTCGAATGAGGGCGTCTGACGTGACGTCACCGTTGTTGCTCGATCGCGAAGAAAAACAAGTAGCGCTTTATCAACGACTTTTTCGTGTAATAATACGTGCTCCGATCTGCGCCGCGCCGTACGACAGTATGGGCTTTGAACACACCCAAGGAGCACGTATCATTACACAAAACAGTCGTGGATAAAGCGCGACTTGTTTTTCTTCAATCGAGCAACGACGGTGACGTCACGTCAGACGCCCTCATTCGACAAGTCGATTCAAGAACTGAGCCTCCCTGCAAACACATCGAGCTGTAATTTTTCAGACTATTTTGCTGTTTTTTTTTCAAATTTTTCGCTGTTTGGGAACAATATAAGGGGTCTCATGAAATGTCAAGAATGTATAGATCAATCCAGGATAACTGTCTCTCTCATTTGTATTCTCTTTACCGTTTTTTGGGGGGTCTTTTTGTCCTCGCGTGGGTTTGTGACTATGCTACTGTGACGGTGTCACCAAAGTGTGGCAAATCGGTGGAGCGTTTGTATGGAGGGCTACCCGTAATTCAACGCTCCACTTAGTAGAGCTAGGTCGGGCGATGGTCGCCCGACCATGACCCATGTCCATCTGTAGAGTCCTAGTTACTCGGACGAGTCCATGACCAACTCGGTCCGAGTCAACTCGGTCCGTGACCGGCTCGGTCCGTGACCGACTCGGTCCGTGACCAACTCGGTCCGTAACCAGCTTGGTCCCTATGGGAAAATGTACGCCAAAAAGATTGCATTTTCTTGTAACAAGGCAACTCAACATGCTTAAGGCGATCCCGTTCATCGTCGTCGTCTTTTCTTCAGAACTGAGCTCCGTCACGTACGCACTTTTTATAGTTTTTGCTTCCTCAGTTTTCAGGTAGCATGTGGTTGGCTCAGGCCTGGGATAGCTTGTGATGGAGCTTAAATGAAAATAAATTAATGCTTTGAAATAAAAGTTACACGCACGACCCACATGTACGTGGGCCGAGGCTATGTAGGCAGCACTACACACAAATGTTTTTACTCAACCTGTGTGATAATGAAAGTTAAACTCAGGATGGGAAGCTGCACTAGTTACAAATGAAGTCATGACTAAAATTTAATTACAAGTGTGTCCCCAAAATAACTATAAAAGTTGCGCATAGGCTAGTCCCATAAATGTGACGGAAATACTGGACTACCTCCGTATTTAACGTCACACATCCACCTGTGGTATAAACGCGGAGCGTCCCCGTTGCTAGGGGAGCCGAAAATTAATTAAAAATCAAAATTATTTTGTCAGCAGAAAAGCAACCCAGTTATTAGTATGACTGCTAAATAGCACAAAATCATTAAATTCGGTACCGTCAGAGGTCTGGTTATCCAAAAATCATGGTAATTTGTCAAAGAATGCAGACGGTTTTAAAAAAGCATGGCATCTCTGATATTTACCAGACTGTTTTCTGGCCACCCTAATTATAGTCAAAAGGCCAATGGGGTCAGGGAACCAGACAAGAGCTTTAATCATCTACTGAGCGTGCGTCAACTTTGGCAAAGCGCACCGCGGCTGTTGCCTGTCATTCCAAAATCTTTGGCGCTCTGTGAAGTACCTGGATGCAATACGCGGCCTTGGATGAAGAGCGCATACATGTACAAGAGGGCGCGCTTCACTGCAGAGGGCTTCAAAGATTTTGGAATGACAGGCAACAGCCGCGTTGCGCTTTGCCTGTCATATGTAATTTTGGGAATCTCTCCATAGGGCGGCCTCTTTGACGCGTATAGGCCTACTGTTAGTAGTCCTACAACTTTACAATTACAAAAAGTATATAATTGCCACCAAATTTTGTGAAAAAAATGTTGCAACCTGACGCCACTTTTTTCTTTATACATCTCAATGAAGGTCATTCATTGCAAAAATCATGATAAGACATTAATCTGGGACTGAGAAACATTTCCAAGTTTGTTAAGAAATACCAAACTTTCCTGACTCTCCATAGACTTTGTACACAACCGCTGAAGTGGCGTCAGGTTGCAACATTTTTTCCATAACCATTAGTCTGTTAGTGGAAGGTGCATAGTGCGCATGGCACAACAAACCAGCAGGCCTAGGCTACTTTCACTAACTTCTGGGCCATTTCTTAACAGCGGTGTCACTTTTTCTTTATTTTCTCCCTAGGTTTTCCTAGGGCACCAATCAGTGATTGAGAAATGGTTCAATGGCTCGCCCGACAGTTGTAAACATTTGCAATGCAGTGATACCCCTGCGCGAGGGCTACTGCAGCAAATGGGAACTGCCGTTACTTTCGGTCCTAGTCTGAAAGTTTACAGGACATTTCCATCAAAGCCTGCCATTTTGGTGTGAAACTTCTCTGTTATGCACATGTGGAGTCACTTTTACCTAGGATGCATACACAAGCATGACAATCTAATCTTGATATAAAATAACAGGTTGCTTTGTCCGATAATGTGAGAAGGCAACAGATGTGTACAAAGTACCTACATGTATCGGTCATGAACTCTTTAAATACAAAAGCCATTCTGTCGATAGTTTTAGCTACATTGTAGGAGTCGAGGACATTTAGATTTTGGTTGTGTTTTGGAATTGATCCACATAATTGCATTTACATGTACCGGGTACAAACATTATCAAAGCCACTGATGATAAAAGGCTACCAGGATAAAAGTAAAGGGAAAAAGAGGGGAAAAGAAAGAAAGAAGATACAAATTGAAACATAGATTCAGCACATTAAATGTTTTGGTGAATAATATCAGAAATATAGGTAGGCCTGCATTTAGGCTCCTAAAGGGAAGTACATTGTACATGTAACGTGTAAAACAACGGCCAGGAGAAAGCAATACTTTCCATTGTACAACTTATATCTCTTTGCCATATTTTTGCTCGTTGTACATTTTCAAATTGTGTCTTCATCCTTATATTTCCAGGTGTTTTTCGACATTTCCATCGGTGGAGAGGATGTAGGACGTGTAGAGATTGGTCTGTTTGGCAAGACGGTGCCCAAGACTGTTAAGAACTTTGTAGCTCTGGCCACCATCCATAAAGACAAACCAGGAGTAAGTACATCATCTGTTACCCTCAAGCAAATTGATTGGTTGATCTATGGCAAACACAGTGTAATATTATACATGTACCTAATGTCTCGCAGGCCATATCTCACTTCGCGCATCACGCTATTCTAAGATGCACACCCTATTCCTACAGCATGGAGATGTAATACAACAACCATTGAAACGTTCATGTACAGAGTTTTTGTTCCATCTTTACTGTACTTCAAGTTTTCCGTGTTCCACTTGTGCTTGTGGGATAACTAGTAACTAATGACGTCAATATTTTATCAATGGGGTGGTGAAACTGTGTATTAATGTCTGGAGTCATGTCATCTGAAACCCTGGAAATTAAGGATTTCGTCTTTGAGTCTCAAATTCAAATGCTATTGTCTCGCTTCTGAGTAATGTGAATGCCCTAGTAAGGCTAGTAGGTTACCATCCAATATGTGCATGCATGTTGCTTGTGACTGGTGCCTTGCTGATTTATGTGTAGAACATAATAAGATGCACAAATCATCTTATTACATAAATGATATGAAATAAGATGAAAAAATTACTTGGACAAAATGGCCTACATGAATAGTACAGCATAATCACTTTTGAGCTTTTACATGCACTAGAATACTTTTATTATGCAGAGTTGGTTCTGATAAACATCTCTGCAAGTGATTGGTAAAAGTCCGATGTCGGACTGTAATTGCACCCCTTGCAGAACACATTTGGCTGGAGAATCATTCAGCAAAACATTCCCAAGTACATAAAACAATACTTGTAACCTCTCTGCTCTGTGGTAAGCGTGATCATTCAATTTCACAGATGTACATGTCTGTCTAACATTCTTCTCATATCTTTCACTAGGAAAAAGGTTACAAGGGTAGTAAATTTCACCGTGTCATCGATAACTTTATGATCCAAGGAGGAGATTTTACCAACGGAGACGGCACAGGGGGTGAGTATTTACAAATGGGGATGTTTCCTTGAAAGCTAATCCTAACCCTGACGTACCTGAGTCCATCAAAATGTTACCCCCCCCCCCATTTCGGCAAATTCAGGATATACCACCATATTGAACAAACTGGGGGATTTTGATGGATTCAGGATTGGAAGCCTAGCGGAACTGCCAGATTTTGATGGATTCAAGATACCTCTTTTTTGAGCTGTTGGGGGACTTTGATGGATTCAGGATCTCAACAGTTTAACTCTTTTGCAATGTTTGTGGTCAAGTAAATACTGTGGCATTAGCCCTGCAAAGTCTGTCACATACTGTACAAACATGTACTGGGTGGATGGGAGCTACATGTACATGTGACTGGGGCTATAGGCCTCAGCATATAAACAATATACATGTACATGTATGCTGGGGTCGCCATGCATTGGTGTATTTTGATGGATCCTATGCAACAACACACATCACAATTTTCATGCGAGCATGGTATCCTGAATCCGTCAAAATCCACTAGAAATTTAGGTGATGGATTTTGAAGACTCTATGGAAAAACATGTTGTATTTTTATTTATGCCACCATGGTACCTATCTTGAATCCGCCAGAATCCATCAAGACTTTTGCTGGTGGGCTTTGGCCGATTCAGGATACATCCAGCATGTTTGTCCAGTATCTACATTGTACACTGGGGGATTCTGATGGACTCGGGATACCAGCATTTTCTGCATGACCAAATTGGTGGATTTGGGCAGATTCAGGATACTTTCTAGTGAAAGAGCCCCAGGAGTTATGGTTAAAGTAAAGTTTACATGGAAGCATAACAGAGACATGAACAATATCCATGCCCCTCTTAAAAGCTTACATGTAATTTGTATATTTTTACATACATGTACATGTAGATGATATCCTATTTCCAGGCTTGGACTTGGAATCTGGATGATCGCAGCCATGTATTCAGTGAAACCCACATGGTCCAGGATAAAATGTTACATCTCCTTCAGTCATCCACATATTTTTTTTAATATACAAATCAAACTTGTAGATATAGATCTATCAGTGTCAATCCAGATATCCAATGTACATGTGGGCAATTCTTTGGTAACGGAATTACGGAATTTTGTCACTTTGTCAAGGATTATTCTTTCACAAGAAAATATGTTCAATGCTAGGCAACTAATCTGAACATGGAAAGGGAGCCAAGACCCAATAGAATTGATTGACCGCTAAAAAAAAAAAAATCCCACAAGATTACCCTTTAAGGGGCGGAGCTTAATATCGGTAACGGAATTACGGACGGAGGACAAGCATATTTGAGTTCTCGCATAAATTAATAAAACTCTCTGAAGTTTTGAAATTTTAAAATTGGACACTACCTGTTATTTGTAGAGTTCAGGGGTGTTGTTAACTACAATGCAGAACAAAGTTGAAAAAATAATCACTCTTTTCATAATTTGCATTTTAATCACGGTAACGGAATTACGCCTGGGCGGTAACGGAATTACGCCATAGGTTTACATGTAATAGGTAAATGCAATACATTAACATTGAATTCAACATTAACTCATCACAATACAAATTTTAGAAATATATAAAATGCCACTAGGGGAAAGCTCATTGAAAATAAGCAGATCAAAATGTAAATGTAGGCCTAAATATGTCTGGGCTTCATTTTTTAGGTCAAAGGTCAAGGTCAAAAGAAAGCAGTCTGGTGATGGCTGCATTGCCTGTTAGCAACGTTTTTTTTTTTAATTTTTAACGAAAATCAAATTTTACTATGAACAATTGTATCGTATTTCACTAGTTTATCGTGAAAAATACAATAAAACTATACTGGTTGGCATCTCTGAGCAAGGGAAGATGTTAAGTTATGCCAAGTAGAAGTACAAGTACAGTCTGGTACTCAACTTTCATATACTTGTTGTGGCATATATTTTCTCTGGGTACCAGACAACGGCTTTGGCAACATATTTAAAGGGAATGTACGTCATTGGCTTTTGCTGTAATTTTCAGAAATGAACTATTTGAAGGGTTAGTATAATTTATCAAATATTGTTACACTGACATGTTTGAAGTTTTGCGTTCGAAAAATGCTGGAAAACCAAGAAAAACAAAACTGTTCAAGTAGTCTGGTTCCTTGACTCAACTAAAGGTAAAATGGATAAATTTATAGATGCTGGAAAAGTGGAAGGTCAGGGGGAACCAGACTAGCTGGCCTGCACCCGTTCATGAACATGTAACAAATAGGTGTAGCAAACAAAATTTGGACTGGAAAGAGTGTAAAGTTGAAGCAGTAGTTGAAAAATAGTTAGGATTTTCCAACGGTGGTCGGCCGACCACCGTTGGAAATGTATACAAAAATATCATTTTTTTGAAAATTTCTTCGCACCAGGTGCCATAATTTTACAGGATGCTTTAGACTGTCATTTACCAACGTCCTACAGTGTAGTAAGGTATTTCGTAAAAACTTGGTAGTTTCATTTTCTGATGTTTGCAAATGTATATTCCCTTTAAGCATCCAAACAACTATTAGCATTTTTTAAATAGTAAAAAAAGAAAAAGTAAAAGTAAAAAATATCAATGGAACACCTGATAATTTTTAATTGTATAATAGCAAATTAAAGAGGGAAATGACTTAACAAGTAATTTAGTATTTAAAGTTATTGTCCAAGGTTTACATGCAAATCTCCTATTTAATATGTCATGTACATAATGTGGGGGAAGTGTGCATACTTTGTGCATGCGTAATTCCGTTACCGTAATTCCGTTACCGTTTCGTAATTCCGTTACCACTTGGAAAAATGCCAAGAAATTACTATTTAAAAGTTTTTATTTTTCATTTATGTTTATAGTAGGGTCTTTTCTCAACATACATGATTTGTAGAAAAAAAACAAGAAAATTTGTGAAATAAGTAACTTTTGCCATTTTTTTGGTAACGGAATTACGTGCTAATTTTGACATTTTTAAATGAAGGCCTACACTATATATATATATATATTCATATTTTTAGATTTTTTTTAATGACCCTGAGTAATGTTAGTAACTTGTAACATCATAAAATAAATCAAATCTTTTCCCTATAATTCAGAAAGTAATACATACACAAAATTTTATTTTTTTACCAAATCTGAACGTTTTTAATCATAAATTGCAAAAATCACTGTTTTTACCAGAAATATGTATTTTTTTTTAATTTCGTTTTTTGAACTGAATTCCCCATTTAATTGAGGTCTGGAAAAAGTATGAAAAAGGTTTAATATGTCAATATTTAATTTTGACATTTTTTGCTCTCCCATGGAGAATTGCCCATGTACATTTATTGTATGAACAAATATTTCCCAGGAAGCACTTCGCTGTGAAACCCAAATAAACACGATAAACCCTTTAACAAGCCGTTCTTAATTTGATGACAGGCAGGAGTATCTATGGGGACCGTTTTGATGATGAGAATTTCAAGCTGCAACACTACGGCCCGGGCTGGCTGAGCATGGCCAATGCAGGCAAGGATACCAACGGCTCTCAGTTCTTCCTCACTACAGTCAAGACATCTTGGCTAGATGGCAAGCACGTCGTGTTTGGCAAGGTTTTAAAAGGAATGGTAAGTGCTGCCTTTTTTTTTTTTTTTACAATTTAGCATCTTTGGATGTTCACATGAGTTAGCATGGTTGGATTGGATGTTGACAGTCGCGGCTGTTGGCCGCAGGGTTTTAGCCAGTGGGGTGTCTGGGCACCAGACCTGGGTGTTGTTTGGATTCCCAATTTTGTAATGCAAATGTAGTTACTTTTTACAGCGTCAAATGTTTCCTCTACTCTGGCATCGCAGTAACTCAAATTTGTCAGTTAGTTAAACTAGAGTTTCATTGCAACAAAACACAACCTGTGAATTTCTTTCATCTTTTTTGATGAAAGGGGGGGGGGGGGGAGGAATTAGTCAGCAAAACATTTAATATTTTTTTATGTGAACAGTTTTGCAACCTACATTGTACATGTATAGTGTCTGTGTGAGTTCCACCAAAATTTGATGCCTATTCTGATGTAATATTGTTTTGCAATGAGCCAGTCTAAGTTTTATCAGTTGAGGAAAGCTATCTCCAATTGTGGTAATCTGTCTATAAACCTAAACTCAGCCTCGGCCTTCTAATATTGTCGAGCAATCTAAATGCCCAGGGATATGGATTCGTTTTGTCTCACGAGGTAATAAACAATTACGGGACAAAAGGAATTATGGCAAGATCAATGGGAACTGATTTAATATTATAAATTATAAAGTGACGCCTAAACAATCCGCACTCGGGCAACTTCCCTGAAATCAACCAAATATCTTTGGAATGCTACTGCCTAACTCTGACTCCAAGTAAAGCCAAATTCAAGGCAACGGTCGGCTCTCTCCCTGTCCAGTTTCTCACCGTGCTTCTGACGGTGACCTTCGGACAATATAGTCGACAACCTAGCCCACTACTTGACCCTATATCTCTCAGGATATTTTCTATACAGATTCTTAAGTACACACTAAATCTACCACTCCAAGTAAAAGTCAATTTTCTATGGCATGTAAACAGCACTATACGGCACTGTTTCACCTACACAACTATCGTGATGGTACAGCTGTTAGAAATGTAACTGCTAATTTACGCCTTAACACCGCGGTTGCACTGGATTATGCTCTCAAGATTAGCAGATTCTATCAGCTGGCTCTGTATTGACTTGCTGCTTGACCGTCTGTAACATGACTCACTGCCCAACTATACAACGTGGCTCCCCGCCTGACTAATGCAACGCAGCTCGCTCACATGGCATGGCGCATGCTAGACGAAACATAAACTTGCACCAGTCTCGCACTGCTGTCTGCATTTACTTTACAAAGATTTTTAAGCAAATTATTATAATGAGGCCTGAGCACTAACCAAAAGATTACTTACGCATGCTCAGCAATCTATATATTACATTTTGTAAATAAGAATGATGTCATCATCTGATGAATTAATTAGCAACAAGCCATTTCGTAGGAACACACGCCCACTGCATAGCTTTCATGAGATGTTTCCTAACTAGTTTTCGCAACTTGCACAAAAAATATTGCAGAATTAAAATTAGGCCATTGTATATAGTTCTGTGTATAAATATACTGCGGCACTTCCCCACTGTTGGAATTTCATTTCATTTTGAGTAACTCCTTGATTTCTGTTTTCTTCTTTTGTCGTGTGTGTCTGGCAGGACGTTGTTAGAAAAGTTGAAAAGACTGATGTTGTCAACTCTAAGCCTGTCAAAGAGTGTGTCATCAAGGATTCTGGAGTTTTAGAATTGCCTGACGGTAAACCCTTCTCTGTTGAAAAAGCAGGAGTTGAGTAAAAGGGATATATGAAGGCTTTGTTGTTGCAAAATCTTCTTTTAGAATTTTGTGTAGTTTCCCCTTTTTTGTTGGTCAATCTCCTTTAATTTTTCAGTTAGTAAGTTGTTTTTGTTTGGCCATATTATTCATTAGGCACTGCGCACGTGACACCACCACGTGCACCACTCCAGTGCTACATTTGTACACTGAATGTTTCACACACGCGCATCAAACACGCATGCGTCAGACTTTTGTGCACATGTCTGACACTAACCACGGCTTTGACTGGTCGAAACACATTAGGGGGTCTTAATGATTCTCTCTATTGTTTGCAGTGACCATTTTCCTAAGATGTTCCCATTATGTGTATGGCATCTCTGCAAACATTTGTTGTCACCTATATGACCTATCCTCTCAAACTTTACGCATTCCAATAAATGCTAATCTGGAAACACTTAATCTGAAACAGAATTTTTTGGTGGATGCCTTTTATGATGAACATGTACTGTGTATCCAAGTGTATGCTCATTTGTGTCCTTAAAAAATGATAAACATTTATGTGATTTTTATTGTTAGGCCACAGGGCACAAGACCTCAGTGGGACTTGTGCTACATTTCTTAAAGTATCGACCGAAACTTTTGTAAATGTACATGTATTGGTTTGAACAATGGACACTTTTTGATGTATCCATTATTACAGCAGAGAACATAGCAAATTTTATAGCTTAACCAGTATGAATTTTAGGATGTGAATCATGTGACAATGCTTACATGTATATAAACACTTGCCATTTAAAATATAACAAGTGTAGTTTGGGTGAGGTATAACAGTATAATAAAGCCAAGTTCAAAAACCTAGTACAATTATAACTACCTTTGATTTACACTTTCCTTCAAAATGTTTCACGTTTCCAATGGCTCTGCCAAATAGATTATTTTGAAAAGGACATTACAGTTGTTATGAATACAAGGGTGTAGTAGAATTTTCATCTTTCCTTTCAATTTTCTCTCCTGCTAACAATTGAACAGGATCCCAACTTTGACATTGTATTCTTGATATGACAAGTTTGACTGAATTGTCATCCTGTTTTGAATTTTTAATAAAAATCTGGAAAAAAAATGCCTTTTAAAAAAATCTAGCATGCAACATTCTGTATAATTATGTACGTGTGTTGTTATCCAGCTATCCTGATAAACACGCCAAAATGCAATATTTTTTATTAGACCATAATTTTAAGACACTGACCAAAATAAACCAATCAGGATTTTGCATGGCATATTGTTCAGTTTGTAAACATGCTTCCGTAAAATATAGTGATGCACTGTGTGAAGTGTCATAAAGCATGTTTTATAAAATTGCAAATTGTCACTTTGTCCTGTTTTCTGCTAAACTTGTAACATGTGTAAAAAGACGACCATCATTTATTAATCTAGCTTTAGGTGACATCTAAGCTGATTCTTCACTACAACTTGATATTATACATGTATACCAAAGTTTCTACACATTTTGAGATGAATAAAATCAGAGTCCAATCCTGACTGACTGAATGTTTCAGTGCAATTTATTAATGTTCTCAGGTGTGAGAAAAGTGTTATTAAAGTGGAATTCGAAAAGAATAGATCCCTTTTCTAGATTGCTTTATTTCTAGCAATACAAAAGTTATTCGCTTTTGAATGAGACATCCATAAAAAAATTAGCCCATGTGTTGTATGTAGCTGTTGAAATATTACATTACAACTTTGAACAATTATAATTCCATTATCGCAGGGTAGGCTGGTTCCCGCCACACCATGCCGACAATCATGACAATCAGTATGGATAATGTACACACAATGTATGGACAGGGAGCCAGTTTGCTCACAAGAGCAGATGTCCTTTAAAGACAAGGAATGTTTTGGGTTGGAATAAAACAAAAGTTTTAAATGTATTACTTATTAAGATGAAACAATTGGAATTTGTAGCAGAGCACGCCCGGGCAACACGTCTTTAACAAATACAAATTGGTTTCTATGTGCTTGTATTTGTATTTATTTATTTCCATAAATATCACAATTAACATCCGACGTGCAGTACATCTTCATAGTGCCACAATTCTAAAAATTAGAAACACGGTTGCAATCCAGAATACAATTTTAAAATTAAAATTAAATTTGAAACATTAAAAAAATTGGCTTCAATTTTCTAACTTTTCACTGAAGCCCTGCGGTTTAAGAGTCGCCTGATTATAAAACTAGAAGCGTCTTTTACGACACAAAAAAATACCACGAGTAAATGTTTTTTTACAGGTCGACCAAATTTCAAATTGAAATAATAAATTGAAAATAACTTACTCGGCTAAATCACCGTTTAAAATTAGATACCCCCCCCCTAAAAAAAAGGAAATTTTTCACATTCCTACATTAAAAAGTATCAGCAGTGACAATGTTACAGATGTACATTTAATGAACACTAAATACTTTCCAATAAAAGACTGAAAAGTTTGATCCTCATCTCAATTCAGATATCGCCAGGTTTTTAAAACGGGATTCCGAAACATGAAAATATATATTTTCAGAATATCCACTGATTATCTATTTTCAATTTTAATCAACATTCATAAATACCTCAGACAGTTTAGCTATTCCTATTGGTCGAGAGCCCGTCACGTGGCCGGTCTTAAACGGATGATAAAGACATGGCTAGCTGGTCTTAAACACTTTTCCAGTGTCACAATAAAATGTGGACTCCTAGAAATCCAGTGCCTCTTACCGTTTCATTGGTTGAACGTTCACAATCCTCACATAGGCATGCACAACACTACCAGTGAGTCATAATTTTATAGTTCAAAATTCCAAACGCAACGCCCCAGGTGTGTTCTGCGCGACATCGCGCAGAACATGCCACGCGCGCGTCAATCGCCATAAAAGGGTTGTTTACATCTTACTCGCCAGCTGAACACTCCATTATTTTGCCAGAGGGATGTTTCAAAAAGCATGAAGTGAACTTGTTGAACAAAATCGGGATTTTTTGAACGAATTATTTGATATTTTTTAACCGAAAAGGTATTTATGAATGGGAATAAATATGTGCTAGGTCGGTATTTATCACTCCGTTTAAGACCGCTTAGAGTCTGGGTGCTGATAATTACCCTCGCCTCTGGCTCGGGTAATTATCAGCACCCAGACTCTAAGTGGTCTTAAACGGAGTGATAAAAACCTCTCGAGCACACATTTATTCCCTTATTTATTTCCATAATGCCAAAACATATAAAATTGTATAACAAAGAGAAATAATAAATAATACAATGTAACAATACAATGTTACAAAGAAAAATATGGTAGAAAGAACAATAAGATGAGTGGCAATAATGGAGGCATCTTCCGAAGGCTAGGAATAGGATACATACATGTATATGAAAATGCCTGACAAAACAAGAAACCCAAAATTTTTACAAATGATATTGACAGATATCAGATAACAATCTGACAAACATCTTTACAATACACATGGGATGAATTAAAGTATTAAGCGATATCATAAGAATAATTTCATAATTTCATTGTCAAGACGATAAACTTTATTATAACAACTCACACACAGATTCTGTGTCTCGATTGGCCGGGAGCGAGTCACATGGTACTTTCTATTTTTGCTGTCTTTCAGTGCACGGCCAAAAGTACTATACCCATAGCAACCAAAGTACTGTACGCACTGTGTACAAAATGCATAGGGGTGTGTGAGTTGCGCATTTTGTTTCCAAGTGCGAGCGCTACAGAGCTGGGTTAAAACATTTCGTGAACGAGAAGATAGAAAAAGTGCAAGTTAATTTTCAACTAATTTCGTCATTGTTCATAGTCAAATAGAAGCACATTTTTATTGTATTCAGATTAAATTCATCATTTATCGCTTAAAATCAAGCAGAATCTGTGGGAGAGGTGTTATAAAACAAATATTGACTGCTTTACCTCGTGGTGTAGTAAAACTATCTTCCCTCGGTGATCCATGGAGCATTCTATTTTCCCTTGGCTGCTTCATGGATCACCTCGGGAGGCTAGTTTTACTACACCACTCGAAGCAGTCAATATTTCTATATTATGAATGTATGGCTACGAATCCGAATCACTGATCTCTATACAAAGTACACTGGACAGCCCATTTGCTGTTAGAACGTAGAAGTGAGGCCACCGTCCGCCATATTAACACTCCCGTAACAATGGCATTGTAAACAAATCTATCCTAATTTAACCTAATTTTAAAATGGGAGTTCAAAACTTTTCTCTTACATTCTGTTAAGAAAAAAAATGTTTAATGTACTTTAATTATTGTTTAATTTTATTACAAATGTTTAAAAAAAGACTTCAAACGAAGTGCTCCTTAAAAAAGTTAAGAACATGCCAAACTAGTCAATTTATAATTGTAACATTTTAAAATGAGGGAATTTCATGCAGAAAATTCAAGTTAATTATATCAAAAGCCCCCAGATCCCTAGCAATTAGTCGGCACGCCTTCACTCAACCTCTAATCACCCCCCATACCCCGCCCTTCCTCAAAGCTTCATCCACCCCTGTCCTATACACACACATGTACATTGCCAATGGCATCAGGTTTTGTCAACGTTTAAAATTTAAAAATCCTTAATACGTAGCCTTAAGACACTTCAAGCAGAAAGCCCTCTTTTAATATGAAGCTGGATCACTATACGCTTTTAGCCAAGAAAAATTATTAGGAGATTCCCTATACACAAGAACAATAAATAAATGTTGCTCACTCGTACATATACAGTACAGTCAGAGCTTAAATACAATTACAAAGGATTTTTTGTTGCTTTTACTGATTATAATAATGAGGTACACGTTCAACAATGGGTCAGTATGGGCTCCGTGCACAAACAGAGAGGGCGCTTTTTTTAACACCGAGAACCCCATGGATGGAACACACTGCATGCGCGTACTGGTTCGTGCCCGTATGGCCAGAAGTACGCACGACTAAGTTTATTCTGAATGTGCACAAAGCCATAGCGTCTTTGCGTGAGCGTCAGGCGTCGTCAGCAATGCGTTTGAATGTCACTTCAAGTGGTCTCCCCCAACTCTCCCATCCTCAATGTTGAGGGGGTACTTGTGCACGGAGCCCATTCCAAAACAACCTACCATAGACTTTTGGATGACCATCTTGAGCCTAATTCATAGGACTGTTTAGCAGAAAACACTGCTTAGTGATTTCTTAGCTTAGCAGAAACACCTGCTGGGAACCAGTCGCTAGCAGCATACATTGCTGGAACTTTTTGGCTGGTAGTTTGTTTATCTGACACTGGCTTGATACCTTTCAGACAGGTCGTGATTATTTTTTTCCTCTACTTAGAAACTTGGGAGGTACTGAGCATAAAAATTTACTAGCATGAAATGGCCGCAACCAAGCAAACTATGGGTTGCCTCAAAGTCCAGTATCTTGCAGCTCCCTCCTCATCTGAGCATTGGAAGCTGACTGCTTACCACCGCTCCCTAGAGTGGCTGTTGAGGCGTGGCCATAAGACACACCGGAGTCCCGCTCAATGGTGTGCCCCCGGTTGAAATGCCCCTGCCGCCCGTCCCCTTGATGGTAGTCATCTGAGTCGATGGACACCATGTCATGCTGGTTGCTGCTTCGGCCACTAGTGGACATGGTGATGTAGCCAGTGGCTGTAGAGGCACGGCTTGGAGATGTCTGACGCTTAGCTAACCGATGCACGCCCACTGAGCGCCGTTTGGTGTACTCCTCCTCATATGCTCTGTTCAGATACTTGAGGTTGGACAGGGAGCCGTCAATGTCGCTGTCGCGGGTGTAGCGTGGGTCCTTGTCAGACGACGGCACGCAGACGCATATGCACAGGAGACCAATGAAGAGCACCACCAAGAAAGCCACAGCAATGGCCACCATTGAGATCAGTAACGGGGACCAGGTGAGGGTTGAAGCAGCCGTCATAGAAACACCTGAAAGTGGGAGAATGAGAACATGACTTGACTTTAATTGATAGTGCCAAACTCCAGGGTGTTGTAGTGGAGATAACTTTGACAGATCAAAAGTCGTCCCAAGTTTAATTATCACAGGTATTCAAATGAAGTGTGACAAAGGCATTCTGTGCCACATGTGACTGGACTTGTGACTGGACTTGTGACCCAAAACTCATCCACATGATAAAAGTTTCCCACAGTGCACAATGATGTACGGTAGCTGTAACACTTTCCAGAAAATCCAAAGTAACAAGGAAAGTACACACAGATTTATGGAGCCTAGCAGATTTTAAAGGAGGGGGGAGGGGGGTTGGTGGGGTAAACTTACACTGGCTGCTGGTGATACTACCCCTCTGATCAGTAGATTTGCCTGTGGAACACCGGACACACACCGTCTGTCCTCTCTCATGCTGGAAGTAACCTTGTTCACAGAACACACACTCCAGTGAAGAGGTGTTGAAGTGGGTTCCCGCTGGACACATCACTACCATTCAAACCAACAAATAATCCGGATTTAGAATATGAATCTTGTATTCATCCATTAATTGTTACAGTTGTGATTAATACAATGGCTGATATATTTTTCAAATCGAATCGTTGACCTGACTAATACGGAAGATTCAACCAGTGGTTCACTATACCTTTCCAGATAATTAATTGGTCTTAAAAAATAGTTTCACCAAGTTTACTTCCATTTTTTATGTTCTCCAACTTCTATTTGAGAGAGTTTGTATGTGCAATTGTTTAATGTTTTTGGAAGGAGAACATTTTAGCGAGTGTTTTTTTGCCTTCTGAAAGGAACCTTCATTTTACAAAAAGGGTTTTGATTAAATAAACCGGAAAATGTAACAAAATAAAAGGCAGTTGGATCAATAAATCGAATAACTGAATAATTGTTCCAGGCTTAGTAACAAGTAGTCCAAGGTTGAAATAATTATAATCTTAGTCAAAAATAATGTTTGATATATTTTAACACTTTTATGCTTTGAAAAGGAAGTAAACTGCTGCAAACTGCTTACTGACTGGATTGGCCTGATGAAATATACAAATCAAGTGACTATTTGTCTCTGAAGAAGGTCTTGTTAAGACATCAACGTATGGCCAGCTAATTTTGTTGACTTTCATGCCTTGCTAGAAATGTTATCTATAGGTGTTAAATAAAACCTATATTACCACATCCCAGGGAGGTGCTCTTGTACCCCTTTGCACAAATCCACATGTAATCATCTGATACTCTGGAGCTGAGACTGTTCACCGTCTGATGGTCGATAATCAGTGACAGCTCCTCCCTATCAGCAAGCTCCTTAATGTTTCCAGCCAGCTCGTCCACGTCACGTTGGACTTCGCTCAGCGACGAGCCTTGAGTGTCTGCGGCCGGGGCTGTCACCGCAATATCCACAGAGAGGTCGGTAAAGGCCCGCCGCTTGCGCGCTGCGGATGCCGCGACCACGCCGCACTTTGGCGTAACGCTGTCTTGGGTGCAGGCACGGGCCAAGCCTCTCTCGCAGAGTACGGCCTCCTGAAGGCTTGTCTGGATGCTCGTCCGGATGTTGGACACAAAGACTTGGTTGGAGGCATCACAGACATCAGCGTCAAAGGGAAAGACGGCGGTGACTGTCTTGCTGATGGCACTGCCTGCTGTCGGTCCTGCAATCATACAAGTCACATTTCCAATTTTCTCTTTAAGCTCAGTGTAATTTTTGTACTTGTAAGTTTCCACTATGGGGAGGGGGGGGGGGCATTGCCTCATGGTTAACGTTCGTGACTCATGATCAGAGGAGCAGGGGTTCGAATCCAGCTGCTGGCCGTATGTTGTGTCTTTAGGTGAGCCACTTCACCCCCACTTGCCTCTCTCCACCCAGGAGTATAAATGGGTATTTTTTTTTATACCTGCGATTAACTGGCTTCCCATCTAGGGGAAATACTTTCAGTCTTTCATACCAATGAAACCAGGGATAAATACCAGCCTGATGAGCCACAGGGGCTGGGGACTTGACTTTGTTTGTTTAAAGCTTTGTACTAGAGCTGCAGCTCTATAGCTCTCTTCAATGTCAGTACATATACGTTTTGAATATATTTTGCCCACGTATGGACTCTGTGCGTAGATGGTGCTTTATCACCAGTTGTAAGACTGCCAGTGGGGACACATGCGCCACTGGTTCATCATGTTCGAGGCATATAGTGCCAGTATGCATGATTAATTTCAGTCTGATTGTACACACAAGCCATCAGGTAGTGTCGGCAGTGCATTCAGGAGGCCCTCCCCTGGCCAGTGGTCTCCACCAACATAAACGCCGGTACCAGGTACCCATAAATACTCCTGGGTGGAGAGAGGCAAATGGGGGTAAAGTGGCTTACCCAAGGACACAACATATGGCCAGCAGCTAGATTCAAATACCTGACCTCTATCATGAGTCACAAACCCTGAACACTAGGCCACACGTAAATGCACAAAAGCCCTCCGCTGGAGAGTCAGTCTACAGTTAAACTTTCCTCCAAAGTTAACAGCATAAAATAAACAATCATATATCACACAATCCTCTAAATGAACTTGGGTCATTCTATAAATTTAGGGTCCAATGTGTGACATTTTCCTGTCCCTGTTACCTTGGTTACTTTGTCATTTGCCATTCAAGTATCATTATGAATGACTTCAAAGGATTTTTTATTTGTTGGGAAAGTAGTTTGCTATTCATTATCACTCTTGGAGGATGACTGCATTAAGGAGTGCATCAGAATGATCAAATCACAGATGTCAGACGTAACAGGGACAGGAAAAAAGTGGACCCCAAATTTATAGAATGACCCACTTACGAGTGCACACGTTAGGATTTGGTGTGGGTTGCCAGAATGCCTTGGTGCTAGTGATCTCGCATTTGAATCGGTTGTCCACAGGTGCGTACGCGTATCCCACGTCACATGCCACTCGGCACTCCATTTTACCATCGGGGGCAACGACGCATTCTCCAGTGCCGTTGACCATCGTCGGAAACTCAGGGCACACAATATCTGTAATGGACCAAGACAGATCATCCACTGTTAAAGGTAATAATTATACAACATTTGCAAACATAAAAAACAAACCACCAAATTATTATGAAATACCTTACTGTAAGTGAATAATGGTCTCAAGCATCCTGTGAAATCATTGGACCTATAGTGTGCTGTCATTTTCAATAAAAGTGGAATTTTTGTTCAATTTCAAACAACTTTTTTAAATGCTGCCCCCAATTTACCAAATTAAGTTCGTCCACATTTTGTTTACAATCAGATACATGCATTCGTGAATGGTTGCAAGCCAGCTAGTCTGGTTCCCTGACCTGACAATTCCCCGACATCTATAAATTGCTCGGTTTTGTCAGGGAACCACACTACAAGAGCCACATTTTTTCTTGGTTTTTCCAGCATCTTTGAACACAAAACTTTAAACAGGTCAGTGTAACAATATTTACTATAAGATTCTAACCCCGAATCCATCCATTTCTAATATCCAAAGCAGACCTTTAAGATTTCTAATAAATTTGGGTTTTGCCTTTACACTGCGATAATTAAAACACTGCAAGTTCAGTGTATACTTATATGGTTAACTCGTTGGCAATCGAACCCATGACCTCCTGCTTAATACTAGTGCAGAGGTCTTATCAATATGGTGCTCACCCACCTTCCTGCTTTGTATGGTGTAAATGTCAGCTGGCTGGTTCAAATTCAGCACAACATTGAGTACTGTTTGATTTCAAGTAATTCTTAGGAGCCCAAACAATTTGCTTCACAAGTGTTTGTTTAAGTCATTTTAACTTTAGCGATCCAAATGCACATGTTCCTGTAGTTTCGTCCATTTACATTTGTGAAATGGGATATTGAGACCCAAAATTCAAAAACTTCCCGCAATTCAATCTGGTTACACTGGTATTTTTCAAAATATTTACAGTTCAAAAATAAGAGTTTTCTGAAATACTTATTGTAATTCTTCTTTTTGGATATGCCTCACAACACAATGATATTCTCCAAAATCTCAAAATGTCGCAAGAACTCATCTGTAGGCTTAATCCGGTTTGTGTGTGATGTCACTTCAGTTTATACCACGCACACTGCACGTGGAGCAGCACTGACACCACTGGAACCACAGTAGTACAAAGTGACGTACATGTTTAGCCAATGGACGCTAGTAATCAGCGCTGGGGCGTGTGTATGATGTAGTCACTAACAACTGGATACTTAACAATTCAGAGCACTCACCAAATTTGTAGAGTGTGACCGAGAATTGGCAGCTCTCTGTATTGCTGAAGGAATCGGTAGCTGTCAGAGTCACAATGTGAGACAAACCGTTCCTTGTGGCCTCATACACGGTGCCGTTCCTCTGGTCAAAGGTCAGGACGTTTTCCTCAGGTAGTTGGAGATTATCCGTGACCTCAACTAGCGGCCAGAATATGGCCTTGGAATTAGCTGTAGTTCTCTCAATGATATTTGGTGGGCATCTCACAGTGGGAGGCTGTTTGTCTGTTTGCATTCAAATTGAGAAAGGAACAAAAGTTTTATAAAATTTATCTTGTCCTTTGCCCTTCAGTTGCAATTTCTTTTTTCAATGAGCACGTTTTCCTCGGTGCTGCCAAGACCTTGGTTGACAAAACTGACTTACAAGTAAGTATACCTTGGCTAATGAGTTATTTACCAAAACAATTACTGTAAACTCAATTTGTTTCATATGGCTGGACTTTGTGGTAAAAATCTACAGAACTACCAGGACCAAATTATCATTACAAGTCAATGTCAACATAAGAAGGAAAAAAAACTTCCGTGAAAGAAATGAAAATGTGTATGGATCCAGTGGATATTTCAAGCCTGTTCAATATTACTGAGTCTGAGTTCAAGTCCTCATGCAAATAATTGGATATGTTGTATCTACCTCTTTACCCAAATACATGTACTCACATTCTGTTCCATAATCAAATGCCCATATACCTAGGCCACTCTGTCAAGTTTGTCAAGTTTAATTTGTGTTGTTTCAGCTACTGTTTCAGTATATTTGTGCAAAATGATAAAAAAGATTCATCGACATCACTGGTTACGGGATGTTAGTTGGGTGTAGGCCTACCGACAATCTTGATCCAGAATGTGCAATCAGCCGTCAGCTGTGTCACGGGATCTTGAGCCCTGAAGACAAATTTCTTCCCCTGTCGGTACCCCTCGGCGTACTGCACATCCCCCGGAAGGTCCACCTGGGGCCCCTCCAGCTGACTGATGATGGCAGGCTGCTGGCTGGTACCCGTTGCCTGGAGGTCCACACTGACGTAGGCTACGTCCGTGTTGTTGCGTAGCTGGTAGGATAATGTCTCTCCGTCGCGACAGTTGGCAAAAGCTGGGGGAGGGGCATCTGTGTAGGCAGACATCAATTTGGTATGAGTTGCAAAGTATGTTCCAACTACATGCATTTATTTTAACCCATTAGCAACTGTACTACATTGTTTAATATTGTATTTATTCCCTAAAGAATCTATAAAAAATAGAGTACTCAGGTAGTTACGGGCGCTACAGGACGTAACAGACATGGTGGTTTGGATTAAATACTTGATTCTCAGGCTTCTAATTGATGTGACAAGTGTTTTCATGTAAAGCACAAGTCACCACATCCTTCACATGTATAATCTTCTTTGCTTCTTACATGTACTTGGACTAATTTCAAGAAACATTCCCAAAACCTTTTGAAACCTCATTTTTATTTATCAGTTTGTTAATTTTCACAAGAGAATGTGTAGTGTCATTACTTGATGAAAGAATACAGATCTCCAGTGCACGTTCAACTTTATGAATTTTTTTCAGGGTTTTTTTTCTAGACTATTTTGGGATCCAATTGAATTAAGTTTAATTTTGATCCAACCTTAACCCTAAAGGGGCCGGGTTATTTTGACCATCTCTCAGCCGGGGGGGGGGGGGGGGGGGGGGGGGGGGGGCGGATTCCGCCCCCCCCCTAAGATCTCGGCCATCGAGTGACGAAAAATTTTGAAACTCGGCACATGCATAGAGCAACTCTTCCTAAACATACCCAAGAAATTTCATGACTATAGGTCAAAGGGTTTTGGAATTATGGCTAATTAATTATTCATATGTACGATTGGCAATTCTGCTCTGTGTACACGACGTATATGCGAAAATTCAGTTTTTACGGCGCGTAGCGGCAACCCGTGGTCCGATTTTTATGTTTTTGGTATCAAAAGATGCGCAAAGCTCGAGGCTAAAAAGTCATAACAGCTCGGGTCGCGAAAAAATTTTTTTAGAAGCTATCACGGAAAATGTTGAGGGGGGGGGGCGGATTCCGCCCCCCCCCCCCCCCCCCCCCCCGGCCCCTTTAGGGTTAACATGACATCAAGCCATCTGCCACATTAGTCTTGACTCACTTGGTATCTTGATGACAGTGACGTCAAACTGGCACATGCCGACGTTGCCAAACGTGTCTATGGCCGTCACCTCAATTGTGCTTGGCGACGCCTGCTCACTAGACAGAAAGAATGAGCCACTGTCCATGCTGTAGGAGATTGTCATCTCGGAGGTCTGGGCTAGGTTATCGGTGACGGTTGCTGGGGACCATTCCACGGCTTCGGAGGACCCGTAGGTGAATTCTGTGATGTCGGCAGGACAAGTTAACACTGGAAGTTCCTCATCTGATGAAAATAGATCAAGAAACAGTCCAATGATACCATTGTCATTGCTTTGTCACTGACTTGTCGCTAACCTGTCACTGACTTGTCACTAACTTGTCACTGACTTGTCGCTGACTTGTCGCTGACTTGTCACTGACTTGTCACTGACTTGTCATAGACTTGTAATTGACCTGACATGGACTTATCATTGCTTTGTCAATGACTTGTCATTGACTAGGTGACAACTTTGGTATATAGCAGGTATAATGTACCCATGCTTGATACTTCACGCTGTCAAATAAATTAAACTGGGTCTGACAAGAAATCCTCGGAAAAATTTAGCCACAACCACAATCAGTCCAGATCTGAAAAAGGACATGAATACGTCAGTATGCAAAGCTGCCATGTTCTTCATAAACACTGAGGCTGAAAATAATATGGAGCAACTCCATGCCAAGTCCCATACAAGCCCCTTTTCATGATTCGACTCCAAAATTTCTGAAAATATTTCAATATTTCAAACTTTGCTCATTCTAAGAAAAAGTGTTTTTGTAGCCAACAGCTTGAACCTGAAAAATAACAGACTGCCTCAATTTCGACATGCACAACTAACCCACCTTCCATTCGAATCAAGAAACGACACTCAGCGGTCGTTCCTGATTCACTAGTTGCTCTCATCACGACCTCCTTCCCAGTCCTGTATTCATCGCTGTACTGCACAGGGCCAGGGATGCTTGGCCCAGATACAACCTCTATGGTAGGAGTTGGGGCCCCTGGCACCGAGGCGGTGAGAGACAGTTCGATGTTGGCAGAACTCTGACCGGTCTCTAGAGGGTAGGTTAGAATCTGGAATTCTGGGCAGTTCTGGAAGACTGGAATTACAGCTGAAATAAAACAAAATTGACAAACTAAAGGTAATAAGATCATTATTTTTTGATTTCATTTTTTTTTCAAGGAAACAAAATTACTCAAAATCTTCAGAGGAACCCATTACAAATTACCTGTTAAACTTTCAGCTCAGTAGACAATTTGAGAAAAAAATTGTATATTTTACTGATTTTTGGTTTTTTTTTTAAGCTAGCATATCCGATTCAAAAGTTGCCATTTTGTACTTTGAATCACACCCTCTCATGTACAATCCTTAAATCAGCACCCGGGATGGTATTTAACAATGTTGTCAATTTATAAACTGTGTGCCCGAGGACACACTTTTTTAAATGTCTTCAGTGCTTGTGTTCTTTCATATATCATTGCAGGCAAAATAATTTCAGGGGGTACTTTTGGTACCGATCCTTTTTGTAACTTTAAGCAAGATTTCTCTCATTACCCAGTAATTACCAATGCTATACGTGTCTTGAAATGTAGTGAATGTTATCATTTTAAGGCACCATACAAGTACATGTATTACTTCTAAACGTTATATCGACTGAATTAAAATCCAAGAAAATGAATCCATGAAAATAATAAAATCTTTGATTAAACCCGGTTCATGAAATCTGGTTTATTTACCTTCCTCGCATAGAGTGCCACGGTATCCAGCCAGGCACGCACACTCATATGTGAATCCGTCTGGGTTGGCCTGGCATATGCCACTATTCAGGCAGGGGTTTGTCAGACAGGCAACTAACATAAACAGAAGATAATGTGTGTTGACCAAAATATTAAATACACTGATATTGGTTAACCCAGCTACTACAGGCCCGCAGTGCTACATCAGCTGTTCATTTCATCAAGTTTTGTGGTTGTTAGTTAATCACAGTTTTTGGTTGATTAATCCAGACCACTTCGTAAAAATGGAGGCTTCCTTTCAGAAGGACAACAAAACAATTCTGAAGCCAAAATCTAAAGAGTTTCCAAGCACAAAATAATTTGGAAGGCATTGTTAATTTTTGGTTTAGATGGGAAGAATGTAATTTTATGGCCCAATTAACAAACGGATATGGATTTTCTTTGTTTGACCATCAATTTCAACACACACCAAAACGTTTATTGCACAAAACAATCATGGCACAGCTTTATACATTTAAATAAACATACAGGCAATACACAATGCACATATTCATTCAAGTAAAACAATTTTGTTGCCCCATGTAGAAGACTAAATTTTGTGGTAAGACAATGCTAAAATCCTGGTCAGGATATAAAGCTTAATTATACTTGGTGGTTTCTTGGTTTGCAACAATATCACTGTCTGGCAAGATTCAGTATGCTTTTGTTACTCCGAATTCCACAATTCTCTTGGCTGTATACATACCTTCCCTTGCTTGGTCGCAGTTTTCTCCCATGAAACCAACATCACACTCACACGTGTACATCAGCGTTTCATCATTCTGACTGCAGACTCCGTTGACACATGGGTTTGGGTTGCACAACACTTTAAAACAAAACGTAGGAAAAAGCAAAGAAAACCCTGTCAGTGTTTCTCTATGTTTGTGATCTGTAATCTGCGAGAAATACCCCTTGTGTTTGGTTCCTGCCTCCTCTATCACATCAAGTCCATGCACTTTAATGCTCAAAAGACGACATGCACCAGACTGACCAAATGCCAGACTTCGATTTCCAAATAAAGTACATCTGTGTCAATTGTGGGACAACTGATCCATTAAGCCCCACCCCCATAATGGATTGACCAATCACAGCAGTGACTGTGCAAGTAATATCTGACAAAAGTCTGACATGGGTGCACTTATGCAGGATGCATGTGGCTGGAGCATGGAGCATGCATTTTTCAACATGCCCATGGGTGAGGCTTAACATATTGGTCTTTTACAAACCGAGCATGGACATTTTCTTGTCAAATTTCGGCCACGGCCACATTACGAGTAGGTCAGGCAGGTATCTTACCTTGTATATTGCAGTGAGTGCCTCTGTACCCAGCATTGCAGCTGCAGGTGTAAGTAGGGTCCCCAGCTGCTTGCTGGCACACGCCGCTATTACAGGGACTAGGATTGCACATATCTGTCAATAAATACACATCCGTAAACAACCTGTTACAATACCATTCACTCATCAGCACCTGCACTACATTGTACAGGGCGAGTCAAAAAAACGAAACCCAAATGTTGGGACTACTGTTTTATTGAAGTCCTGCATGTAGCACTTTCAAAATCTAGGATATGAAAGCCCAATTCATAAACTTTCTTTTGGTACAAGAATCATTCAAATCACTCATGTACTTTTCAAGTTACGGAATTTTAAACACAACCACTGTTTTAAGGTTCTGTCCACGGATCACAAAAAAAGTTCAGTGTTCTTTCAGCCAAACGAAAAGAAATCACATAGGGATGTGTGTGAATTGTTTTCGTTTTGCTGAAAGAACGCACACCTTTTGTGTGATCCGTGGACAGAACCTTAAAACGATGGTTGTGTTTAACATTCTGTAACTTGAAAAGTACATGAGTGATTTGAATGATTCTTGTACTAAAAGAAAGCTTATGAATTGGGCTTTCATATCCTAGATTTTGAAAGTGCTACATGCAGAACTTCATTAAAACAATAGTTCCGACATTTGGGTTTCGTTTTTTTTTTCTAACAGTGTACTTCCTGAGGGATCCATAAAACCATTCAGTGCTGGGACAGTTTGGGGTGTACAGCGCAAGGCACTAGGCAGCAGCCAGGGTGGTTTAGCAGATCACTAACAGGTTAAACTTGTTTAGAAGATGAGCTTCAGCCTCCGGCAGTACACCACCATCTTACTCAGAAAATTTTACAGTTTGCAAAATTACACGGTTTGCTGCGTGCAAAGTCAACAAATGTTTTAGCATTTCCAAGTCTTCATGTGTTCATTCCAATATGCTCTCAAACCCGGCAATGCCTTTTGGGGGCAAGAAATCTAGCCCTTGAACAAGATGGCACACATTACCATAAAAGTGTTTATACTGTAGACAACGTTTACATTTAGTACGTACATGTAGCATACTTTATTATGTTCACACCATATCAGTTCTACACACAGGCCTTTGTATTAAACAACATCTGATGCTCCCTATCGTGTACTCACTTTTTAACTGAAATTCATCTCCTAGCACTCTTATTTCTTGGGTCTTTTTTTAATGCAAAGTGTAAAAAAAAAGCAATCTAGTTTAACTGAGTACCTAAACCAGATATCTCATATCACTATGAATTCTTTTCACTCTTTTCTGTTCTTTGAAGTGTTTACGCAATACTGGTGAAAAAGAAAACTAGCACGTACCTTGGACACTGCAAGTGATGCCTGAATGAGTCGCTGGGCAGGTACACATGAAGGATGTTGGGCTGCTGACAACACACGTACCTCCATTCAGACAAGGACTTGGAAAGCATGGAGAAATCACTAGAGGAAACAAGAAAAAAGAAAGAAAGAATAACACGTTCACAAACTTTCTGAACTATTGCGTAGAATCGGTCTTGATTTTTAAATCTGTTCAAAAAAGTTTGAATCTGATGCAGATTCAAACCAGCCAACCGATCCTGCAAGCTCAGTGGTCGATTGGTAAGACGTCTGCACTAGAAAGCAGGAGATCGTGGCTTTGAGTCCCACCCGAGTGATTTTTTTCTAACTTTCACTCGGGAGGTAACACACCGAGTATACATTGTTTAAACGTCAGTGAAGGGCAAAACCTAAATATCTATCAACCAAACACAACAATTCCATCTTATGAATAGTTGCATTGACGTCTGAGAAAATCACTTATATCAGATGTAACATGGACAAAAAAAAGTGCTCCCAAAATTTAAAGAATAACCCAGTTGCAAGTAAAAAACACTATTTTCAGGAAGAAAACTTACTATTTGAGCAGTCTACTCCATCAAATCCCTCAGCACATCGGCATGAGAAGCTCCCTCCATCATTGGGCTCACACGTACCTCCATTCTGACAGATGTTGGCTTGAGCACATACATCTGTGGTGTTTTTTTGCAACAAATACGATAAACTTTATCAATGGATTACAACAGAATCATTCTGGAATGCAAGGGCAGGGCAGTGGATGCTTAGCTAATTCACGCCTTAAATTTGTAACCATGAAAGAAATTCTAGTTGCTATTTGCGAATGGGCTCCGTGCGCCAACAAGACAGGGTGTTTATACCACTTACGAGACCCCCTGGACAGGACACACCACGTGTGCGTACTTGTTCGCGTGAGTAAAGTGCGAAGTACGAACGCCTAATTTTATTTTGAATGTGCACATGGGCATAGCGTCTTCGCATGAGCGTCAGGCATCATCGGCAATGCGTTGAATGTCTCTCCCGGTGGTAGAGAGAGGCAATGTGCCAACATTTTCACATTCCACGGTTTAACATTCCAAAACTTAACTCCACAGATGCTACAAAGTTATGCACAATTTTTTTCCCTCTAAACAAAAGCAACAATTTCCATAATTAACCCTCCTTTTGTTTGATCAGTCACAGACAGTCAAAAAATCAATACTGTTCCCCTGCCGTGCCTTTTACACAGGCTAGTCACCAACAGTCAGATTATATTTCTTGTAGGCACTGTGACAGTTAAATTCAGTCAACAGACAAAAGCAGGTGACTGGTAGGCACAGCTGGCTTATCAATCTCCTACAGTCAAAGCATAGCTATATCAGGCTTCATAACAATCACAGCCAGTCAATCCTGCTTTATGAAGACAGGGAGCACTCAACCGTTAAAAACAGTCACTTGATTTATTTTGACTGCTGGGCATGCTTGGCTGGCCTTGTTGAAATTGCCAGACAGGGAGGATTTATCCTCAAAATGTCCTATTAGCCACAACTGAGTGTAGAACCATGGTGCATATGAGCTAAGAAGTAAACAAAACAGATACGATAATCAAACTAGATCATAGACCACAAGCGCCGATGCAGCTCATACCTTGTGACATGGTTGTACAAGTGACGCCTGACCAGCCATCAGCACATCGACACTGGAATGTAGAGGAGGTAGGACTGCTACAAGCACCACCATTCTGACATGGATTAGGGGCACAAGGATCCAGAGCTAAAAACCAAGGTAAAAACAACATTAAAAATTGAAACCAGTGTCATGGTCATCCCAAGAAATGTTTCGGGGGAGGAAGGGGTACAAATTGGAGCCCCACTCAATGGTTAATATGGCGTTCTGATAAATGGGGCATTCTATAAATTCAGGGCCACTTTTTTTCCCCAGTCCCTGTTACATTTGATATACATTTCAAGGTGGCAGAAACAAGTTTACGCAGAACATTACTTTGTTACCATAAAAGGATTTTAAACAGTGGGTTTGTACAGTCGGTTGGGTAAAGTTGATACACAGTTATCGCTCTGCGTAAGGGAAAATACTGGAAAAGTAACTGCCTGACTCTGGCACGTACATGTAAATCGTGTAAAATTGACCAAAACATTCGTTACAAAGTGACGTCACAAACAATTTTTTGGTCAGGCGTTTTCGTGATGCACTGGAAACACGTTTCACGTCATTGCTGTGACGTCAGAAACATGTTCTAGGTCAAGGGTCGCCAAAACATGCTCCTGATACCGTAAGATGTATATACAAAATGCGCAGAAAGTTTTAATATTGATCATGCACATAGACAAATATTCTCCATTCTTTTCCCCACACTTTATGTTAACAAAATAAAAAATTAAAAAATAACAATTAGTTGGTTATGCAAATTTTAAAAAGAAACACACTCACATTGCAAACAATTTGGACCAGTAAAACCATTCAGACAGTTACACCGGTATCCGGGTCCACCGGTAATCGGCACACACTGACCCCATTGGAGCAGGGGTTAGGAGAACAGCGAGTGGAATCAGCTACAAATAAACACCAAACACGACAACAATGCAAGCAAAATAACAAAAGAAATCCATAAATACGCAAAAAAACAAACAAAATACATAAATACTATACTAAATCTAGGCGAGAAGCTATCACAAACAATATGACATCACATGATGCTTTGACTGGTAACCTGTTGAGAAAATAGTTAACAATTCGCTCGCATCTTGGAATAGCGCAATACGCAGGGTGCGATATGGACCATGCAATACAGCCTCATATCACACTATTGTTGCCATGGATCGACCAATCAGGATCGAGGATACAAGTTTGCTTGAAGATAAGAGGTAATATACATGCAGCGTGGTGAACATAAGATAATTTTGTATGAAACGCAAAGTACATTTTGTACACTAGGTAATTTAAATGCAACGCACTGTATATGAAGTAAACAGTCACTTTCATAGCCTGGACATTCTAGATATATAACAACTGTGCATACCGCATTTCTGAGCTAGGCAGCTTCACTAACACGGCCCCATAGCACACCGTGGAGTACACAATCAATTCATATATTCATATATAAGTAAAACTGGGCTTATGCATGTGATGACACAACAGAAAACACTGATTCTTCCAATTCAAATGATGCCAGGAGTTGGCTATTTGGGGCATGCAGTTTTACGCTCACTCACTTTCACATCTTGTGCCTGAGTAGCCACTCCCACAGGAGCACTGGTAGTTGGACGTTCCTGTAATCAGTGAGCACTGGCCGCCGTTCAGACAAGGGTTGGACGAACAAGCAGTAGCTGAGGGGGGGGGGGGGAACGATTCAGGAAGTAAACATCATCCAACATGGAAATCAGGTCCAAAATGATGTGAAAAATGAAATAAAAGTCTGGATATGTGTGTCATCAAAATGTCCTGAAGTGCGTAATCTTTGCAATTTATGTATAGGGTGTCCTGAAAATAATGGTGCATATGTAAACCCCGCCATTTTCGCCAATTTACAACCCGAATTTACTGCAAATACTTACACCATCTTCAAGGTTACAGATTTAGCTTGGAATACCGTTTGTTTAATTAATTGCTTTTGTAAATCCAGAGATATGTCTGAATAATTGCAAGGCAAAAAAAAAACATTCAGTGCCACTTTTAGGAAGCGAGTGCTTCAAAGATCAGACAATGCCAGTATGGCTCTTTTGATAAGATTACATTCCATTCACACGACAATAGAGGGCTTTGTTCTTATGTTGAAACTATTTAATAGTACAGACAGGTTCACTTCTTTAAAACTTCAATAAAAGAGATCAATTAAACATAAATAAATATTGCACACTCTGCTTAAAAATGTTAAAACCACTAACAGTAAAGTGATTTGGTTTTAGACTAGGACTATACTGGTTTTAACTGCTTCACAGAAAGTGGCACAAAATGGGTTTCTTGGCTTTGCCGTTATTCAAACATATCTTTGGATTTACAAAGCAATCTCAATGAAACAAACGGTATTCTCAAGCGAATCTATTACCTTGAAGATGGTGTAAACATCCGCAGAAATTTATTGTTGTAAATTAGCAAAAATGAGGGGGGGGGGGGGGTTTTACATGCACCATTTTTTTCAGGACGCCCTGTACAGTACCCTAGCTTAAAATCGGTGTAAATAGGAAAAATACAGGACACGTAAATGCCACTGCTGCTGTATACATGTACATGGCACTGCACAAAGATCCCAGTGGTTTGTGTACAGCAAACAATAATGTTGTCAAGCACAAACAATTTTTGAGAGGGGTGTTACGGTTGCATATCTTTATGGGTTTGGTAATACCATTCATTGAATAAATATGTATCAAATACAACTGGTCTGAATTTTTAATTTTTTTATCGAAAATCGCTTGTCATCACAGTAATATGCACACCTCAGGATCAGGGTTGATGTTTGCTCAAAGTTTCAAGTTCACGCTGTGTGCAGTTGAGAATTAAACTCACCAATTGTTATTTGACAGAATAACAAAAACAAAAACAAAATTGGAAGATATCCTACATCAGTCAGATGTTTACTTTTGGTACATTCCTTTTTTTTTTTATACATGTCATCTTTTCCGATGTTTGACCAACCATCACAATAGCATTGTTTTTATTTGGACTTACTTTGACATCTCGTGCCTGTGTAGCCAAGTGGGCAACTGCATTGGTAGTTGGTTGTGCCAGCAATCAGTGAGCAACTGCCACCATTCAGGCAGGGGCTAGACGTGCAAGCAGAAGCTACATGTACAAAAAACACAAGAGTTCATGTTTTGGATTTGTTTATTTATTCATCCATCAACAGTAATATTCTGATGGACACTAGAAGACAGCATAATGGGAAATGGTTACTTGTAAAATCTTGAGTTGGACAAATTGTCGTTCAAAATTCTTCAACCAGAAATTTCTGAACCCTTACTCCTTTGCAATTTTGGCTAGGAACCTTCCTGAATTCTCAATTGGCTCGGTTGGGTAGGAAACAAATGACATACTCTCCAACTTAAAGTGACTTGGTGGCAGGGATTACGTTCCCGTATCCTGCATAATACACCAAACCTTCTTGTGAATTTTGAAAGACCTGGCTGTAATGGGAGAGGGTGGCCTAGTGGTTAGGGTTCGTGACTCGTGAACAGAGGGTCACTGATTCAAATCCAGTGGCTGACCATGTGTTGCGTCCTTGGGCAAGCCACTTCACCCCCACTTGCCTCTCTCCACCCAGGAGTATAACTGGCATTAGCTGGGGAGTAACCTGCGATGGACCGCATCCAGTCCAGGGGAATAGAAATATTCTCAGTCGTTTCATGCTACTGAAACCGGAGATAAACGCCGGCCTGATGGGCCATATTAAAATGAACCTGGATGCATTGTAGACTCTGCCTAAGCTATGCACCCCATTTACCTTTTCCTCCACTATTCCACTTACTTTGACATCTTGTGCCCGAGTAGCCTGTCGGACAACTGCACCGAAAATTGGTTGTGCCGGCAATCAGTGAGCATTGGCCATCATTCAGACAGGGGCTGGAGGAGCAGGCATTAACTTTTGAGGAAAAAAAAAAAATGGTGAAAAAAAAATCAGTTTTCCCTGTGTGCGGTGTTGGGTACAGAGCCACATTTAGGGGGTGTGGTACATGTAAGGGGAGTGGACGGAGCTTAGCCACCTTTGCCAGAGGGGTAGGGTGGCCACACAGTTCTCATTTCAATATGATGTTTGTTGTATTTGCGCCCCCAGTGCACCCCCTGGACTTGCCTATGGCGTACAGTCCAATTTCAACAAAATGCGCCAACTTTAGTATTAACCCTAACTCCCTAGCATGATTTACTAGGAGCCATACCCATCCTGGCAAATTCCAACACCATATGGGAAACTGCACACACCTATTTCTGACTTTGATTCTGGAGGTGTGCCAACCCAATGTAAAGACTGTCAGTTTATGGGTATTGCACCCATCCAGACATTTTCCAACAAAACATGCCGTGGGTTTGGTGGGTTGAATTCTGTTGGGGTCTTAAGGTCAGAAGGTGTCCAAATGCAAGAGGAAATATCACAACATTTCAGCACAACTTTGATACTTTCCAGTAACAAAAAAAAAGGTTTGATGAACCTCTTTTTAAAGTTTTCAATTAACTCCTACTGCCACGACTGCAACTAACCCCCCTCCGCCCCCGAAAAAAAACAGTCGAAATATAAGAGACTTACGTTGACATCTTGTGCCCGAATAGCCTATTGTACAGCTGCATTGATAATTGGATGTTCCAGCAATCACTGAGCATTGACCTCCATTCAGACATGGGTTGGAAGCACAAGCAGTAACTGGCAAAAAGAGCATTGAAGGAAATATGATAGCAACATTATAAACATATTAACATGACTGATGGAAATAAACTAGAGAAGTTCAAAATGAATTATTCATAAGGTTTGATAGTTTGGTTGCGGTACCAACTGCTACATCAGATCCGAACAAGACATCAACTCCAGCAGCTGAGTGGTATGATGTCTGCACTTTTAAGCAGGAGGTCTTGGGTTCAGGTCCCACCCAAATAGTTTGTGAATTTTTCTAAAAATCACTCAGGACAACACCAAGTTAAAAATGGCCGGTGAAGGGCAAAACCCAATACTCAAAATGAATTAGTAATATACTACATTCGAGTACTTCTAAAGAAATATAAGAAACACCTATAGAGGTAAATTCGAAAGCTAATATAAGCACTTATACTGAAAAGCGCAAGCCTTACAAGGAGAGTATATGAAAACACAAAACAAATTTTATTGAAAATTGGCTTCATATAATGTGCAGTGATTGAGCTAGAAACTGGTGAGCATTTGTTCTTGAATTCAAAATGATTTAAACTGTTCAAGAGAGAGGGAAATAGAAAAAAAAGCAAGCAGATCGATTCAACTGAAAACATTATTTATACAAAAAACAAGACTAGTCAATCACAAGTTCATCACAAGCCAAATCATAAGTACATTGTACATGTAGTTCACAAGTACCTCAATATGAACAATGACAAAGGAATGCCTATGTCACAGCTCATTTGAATAGCTTGTGATATGACGTCAGACTTGGTGACTTGTGGTTGACTACAAGTGAATTGTAAGGACTTGACATTTTGAATGAATGTACATGTAGCTAACTTACCTTGAGTGCACCGTGGACCTGCATACCCATTTAAACAATCGCACAAGTAGGATGTCCCTACATTTGTGCACACTCCTCCATTCTGGCACGGACTGGAAAAAACAGGCGTTTTCTGGCAAAATGGAATTAACACGAAGAACGTCATAAAACATGGGCTTCAACTTAAGGTTTTTAGAGTACAACTACCAAAAAAAATAACCTTAAAAATCTTAAGGGGAACCACTGGGGAGACCACACAACTCAAAGTGCCAAGAAACTTCATACAGTAGAGAAAGTCAAGTTCAAATTACAGGTACATGAACCTCTTCTACAAACACATAAAGTTGTTATAAACACGGAGTGAGTTTTGACATGTTTGGTTAATAAGGAAAGGATTTGCATTCAATTACACTTACCAACGGTTCTACACAGCGGCCCACTGGTACCCGTCCTACATGTACACCTGAAGGTGTTGGAACCGGTTACCGTGCATGTACCACTATTGTGACATGGGTTCGGAGAACAAATATTACCAGTAACGACTGAAAGAAAAAGAAAGAAACAATGACAATGAGGCAAACATAATAGTAAAGGCAGAGGAGTTGTGCCAGTTTTTTGTTCAAAACAACCGTCGCTGGCACTTTATACATCCACCATTGCTGGGGGGCTTGGTGAGTGAATAGTGAGTCCATAGAGAACAATACTTTTAGGAGGTTAACTATACACGAATAAAACTGTGGACTTGGACAAGTGGGTTACCTGAGTTAACAACCTTAAAGGCATGAATGATCACTTGCTGTTCGTGCATTTTGTTCATTTCCAATAATAACACCACTCAAAATCCAAAGAAGAATGTTCAACCCCTAACCTGTGGAAGTTTTAGCTCAGCGGATATTACACTTGTCAAGAAAACAGTGAAAACCCATGCACAACTTTTGATCACGAAAAATGATTTTGTCAATATTTTCAATGATCAGTCATTTGACTTACCATTGGAAATCACTTACATTTCTTGATTTCTTCAAATTGAGGGCAAGCCATACAAACTAATTTCATATAGTGTTTATCATGTTTATAGTACGATCTATAATCCAAGTAAGCGTTTTGATAATAATTCGCTAGGTTCCTCTTTGGATTAAATCATATGATCCTATGTACCTTTAAGGACCTGAGCATACGTCACTAGCTTTCGAACCTAATTGTCCAAATGATAAGAATTAAAGAACAGTACACGTCCTTGTAGCCGAGTGGTTAGAGCGTGGAGCTACGGAGTGGAAGGTTGATGGTTCGAATCCCATTTGGACCAAAACTGGAAAACTCTCTCTGACGGCGAGAGGAGAGGACTGGCACCGCCACTCATATGCCGCGCCTAAGACACAGTGGACCTCTAACATCCCACTGCCCCTACGGCCAGTAATGGCTATGGGATCTTTACCTTTTACAAGTTCTCAGCAGTATAGTACAACCACACCGAGTGAACGGTCTTGTGAATTTGCACACACTAAATATGCCTCTGAATTCTGCATGGATAGTGGTGATATTTAATGTGTACTCACTGGTAGTTTGGCACCGTGTACCGGTGAACCCTGGCTGACAGCTGCACACATACGCTGATCCTGATGTTCTACATACGCCACTATTCAAGCATGGATTGGAACTACATGCATTGCCAGCTGCAAGGACAAATACAGCTATTGGATAACTTTTTCCACAATCGCAATATTTCTGTAAAACAATTTTGTTTTCCGAACAGAAATATAAACCATAGCCTAGTCACATTAATTCCTTACCATATCAGCTTTTTAAAAGCATTAATAACAGACGCACCAGTGCCTACAATTTAAAAAAAAAAATTGTACAACAAAAAAATATTTTATACTCAGAAAATGGAAATTTGGAACTCCTGATGATCCACTTTTGAAAATCCTGGTATTCAACACCTAAACCACCGTTAATCCTGACCTCCCCCCCCCTCCCGCGACCCTTTTGGAAAAATCGTGGATCCACCATAGCGAATGGAGCTTGGAGTTACACATGCACTCGGCATTTCCGGATTCAGCACTGATATAGGGATAACATGGATAATGTACTGATACTCACTGGTAGTTTGGCACTGTGTACCGGTGAACCCTGGCTGACAGTTGCACACATACGCTGATCCCGATGTAGTACATACTCCACCATTGAAACAAGGATTGGAAAGACAGGCATTTCCAGCTGCAAAGATGAACAGATTTCTTATTATCGCTGTATTTTTTTAATAACTGCAACAGTTGTGTAAACCAACTACAATTCCTCTTCATCTGATTGGTAACTTGTAAACTGGTGCTATGAATACAGCATCAGAGCCCTTAGAGCTGTGTTATAGCGCAACCAAGAGTGTGGCATGGGTGGCTTGTGCGTAAAGCGCTCGCCTCTCATCAAGGTGACCGAGGTTCGAATCCTGGCTGAGGATCGCATGTGAGTAGAGTTGTGCGTTGGTTCTCTCCTGTGCCACGAGGGTTTTTCTCCGGGCCCTCCGGTTTTTCTCCCTCCGGAAAAAATCCAAACACTTTCGATCTCAGGCTGTGCTCCGTGGTCATATATGGGCTGACGTGGCCAGCAGCCATAGGCGCCTTTAAATGCCAGCGGCCCGACCACGTTGTAGCCGCGTCCTTCGCAATTCAGCATACCAGCTGCAAGTAAGGGTGATTAGCCTTCCAAATTATTATTAGTATTATTTGACTGTGCAATGGCAGTTGTATTTACAGTGGAACAGAACTTCTATTTTTGTGGTGCAGCCCCCGCGCAGTGCTTTTGGAAGAATTATTCAATGACACGTGATCAATGACCCACCAATCAGACGATAGGGATTTATTTAGGTGTTGTATAAAAATCAATAAACCAATTATGCTCCAAACATTCAAGCTGATAACCCCTACACTCAATGCCAACCCAAGGTTGGTGCAGTGCCTTCCACCGCTATGGCCTGGCTGCGATTTCTGCCCGGACCACATGTGGATTGAGTTTTCAGCCCCTACCTGATTCCGTGGGTTTTCCTCAGAATATTCTTCTGGGGTTTTCCTCCCACCGCTAAGACTGCAATTTCTTGTCATTGTCTTCTCTCTACAGGTTTCTTCAGGCTTGCAAGCTACAATGTCTAGGGCTCTTTTGAGGAAACATTGGTGTCATTACTAGTAATAAATAATCATAATTATTTTTTTCCAAACTTTAATGACCCCTTACCCCAGGTTTCCCTTATCCTACCCCCACAGAGTTTGGCATAATAATGTTTTGGAACAGCGAGCAATCAATCTAGCCTATTTGCGACCTTAAAAATTTGGAGTTGTGACATTAGGGAGACAATGTCCGGTGTCTCTCTAAGGTATAACTCATGACGAAAAAATGTCTCCTTACGGGTATTAAGTTAACAGGAATATATATACTAACGCCTTATTTCACACTGGGTGCCGGAAAACCCTGTTGGGCAGCTACACTGGAAGGCTGAACCAATGGATGAGCACGCACCACCATTAAAGCATGGGTTGGACACACATGCCGACCCAACTGCAAGAAGAAACAAAGCAAAACAAGGGGGCTAGAATAAATCCATTTATAAATAAGTTACAAACTACAATCTTGGATACACATACAGCACATGACTTCCAACCAAACAAATCTGGCTTTGTTTTGTTAAATTAATTGTAAAGCTCAATATATGAGAACCTGTCACGCTTTTTAAGGTAGTTTCATGTTTTGGAGAAAGCTTGAGCTATCTCAATTTTTGTGATAATCTCATTACTGTTAACATTACCGTATGTGCACGCCTGACATTATTGCAAGTAAAAACCAGATTAAACAAACTGTTAATGTTACTGTAACCATTGACGATGGACATAAAGGCAAAGCATCCAAACAGTACCAGATTTACCTTGGCATGTTGTGCCCGTATATCCAGCTTGGCAGTTGCACTGGAAGGATGATCCAGTTGTGACACACTGTCCATTGTTCTGACAGGGGTTGGGAAAACAACTGCCGCTGACTGCTGGGTAGCAAGATACATGTACATACAGTGTTATTTTTGTGAATAAAAGTGACGTTGCTCATTAGCTTCGGACCACACAAATCGCCATTTGCAGGGTCTGGGGTTAGGTACTTGGACTTATTTACCCATACTGATCGTATGGCTGAGTTGCGCTGTATACTTTTCTATCTTCTGGCCTGATTTAGGGCAGCAAGCTTGCACGGAGCCCATAATTCTAGGGGTATGATGCGACTCACACGTCTGCCCTCGCACTGAAGTAGACTCTGTGCTGAGCCTTATAAAGGGACACTGCATCCTGGAATACGCCCATTTGGGCTACAGAACGCACTTGATGTTAATCAGAAAGAATATTTCAATGTAGGATATAAACATCCACACAACTTTCCTATAAAAACTGCACGTTTTGTGTTATTCTTGTGCGAGAACAAATTTCGGGGTCCACTTTTGCGATCCCAAAGCAAAAGATTGATACATGTTCATGCTACATGTAGTTGTGATACCAGCCGTAAAGGGTTCGCCTTTTTGTAGAAAAAACGACATTGTGCATTGGTGCTGTGTGTAATTTATGTGACACAGTGACACTTCTGCTACTACAGCAGTACGGTACTCAGCAACGTCCATAAGTTTGGATATAATGCCGAGGAAAAATTGATCTACAACAATGACAACTTGTATCGTACATTGAAAGAAAATGACAGGAAAAACCGTATGCGTACTCTGTCGTGTCCGTACAGTTGTTTTTTTTCTTTTCTCGGGAACGTTAAGACATGACATTAGTACTAATGGGCTTTGGCTGTACACATACAGTATCACAAGCTCTGTAGTACTACGAGCTTGTGATAGTGTACGGCCAGAGGCATTCGGGCTAGTAGGACATTAGGTTGGTTTCCTTCATGTCCTTGCGACCTTTTAGTGTAAGTAAACAATCCAAAACATGAAGTTTTCTAGTCTGAGTAACAAGGACTAAATAGATTCGTAGATTCCTAATCCTAGTTTGTAGTTAGGCCTACTCCGACAAGTAAATTAGGAGCCGAAACTGGATAGGGAGCCAAAAACCGGGGATCGGAAAACGGCCTTCCTCTCAGTCCAATCTAGCCCCATAAATGTGGCCTATTTACTGGACTGCCTCCGTAAACATAGGCCACACATCAACATGTACAAAAAACGTGTCGACTTTGCCAAATTTTGATTTTCACATTTAGGCTTACTTTGTAGGTTTTTTTTTGCTTTAGAAGCATTCTCACCCTCTATATAGGCTAATCAGAAAGTGCTGCCTTTTTCAGATGTCCATTTTTCGTGAAATTTCCAGATACATTTGCACACATTTGCGTATCAAAATTTCAACATGAAATTTCACAAAAATTTAACATCTCAAAAAGGCAGCACTTTCTGATTAGCCTATATAGAGGGTGAGAATGCTTCTAAAGCAAAAAAAATCTACAAAGTAAGCCTAAATGTGAAAATCAAAATTTGGCAAAGTCGACACGTTTTTTTGTACATGTGGATGTGTGGCCTATGTTTACGGAGGCAGTCCAGTAAATAGGCCACATTTATGGGGCTAAGTCCAATCAACAAGTTACCACTTTGCTGCTTCAGAATTACATGTACATGTAGACTAGAGTTCAGGCTGCAAAATGTCATTTTCGAAATTTGCGAAACTGCCAGGATTAAAAGTGGGTAATCCTTACTTTTAGGACAATTTTTTACGAGTTCTGTTCAAAACTGACTTTTGGTGAGTTTTGCAGATGTCTGTCCAGTACCAAAGTGACTTTTGCAGGCTAAAGCAGTCTTTTTTCTTCATAAACTCATGAGTCATGTAAGTTGTAATTTTGAAAGCACTTTCAAAGAAAATGTGACTTTCCTACTTTTTTTCGCAGTCAGACGTGCATGTTGTAGTTCTCACAACACAGTAAAAGCTCTACATATGAAAGCCCGATGCTGATTGGCTGCTAAAAAAAATATGTTTATTTTTATCAGCCAATCAGCATGGAGCTTTCATCGCATCGAGCTTTCACGTTTGCCATCTTGGTTTTTGAGTCTGTTTTCTGGTTGTCATTGTCGTCTTTTACCCCTGAATTTCCCTCATAAATCAAAGCCCTGCCCTCTTTCCACAAAATGAAACCTGCTGATATTCAAGAAGGTGTCATTGCCATTGTTCAGATGTGCCAAGAAGTATCAGAATGTCAATTTTGAGTGTCATTTAGTCAACTGTTTTGGCGAGTCTTGCCCTTCCTATATAGGAACGGGGTCCTAAAAATAAGGATTACCAAAAAGTGACAAACATGCCATTCAAGGTCAATGTAACATGCCAAAAAGTCATTTGTCAATGTCATGACTCATGTGTGTGAATAGACCCGTGAACGTGGCTAGACAACGCCACCTTCACGGGTCTACAACGCACGGGTCTAGTTTGTGAACGGAATGAAAAGTAGAGGCTTTCTAAACGACACTTTTACCACAAAACTTAGTTTATTTCTGATAAGAGTTTTCTCTGTGACAGCTCAATAACGATTTCGAAATCAAAGCTTTTTGTTTAAATGTACGTAATATTTAGCCTACGTGCCGAAGACAATTCAACTTTCCCTCGCGTAGGCTAGGCGTAGTCGAGTCATCATCTTGTGTTTTAATTTGCGCTAGATCGTATTGATAGCGCCCTCTATCGGCAACTTTGTTTTGGGGTTTTCGAAACCTTTGCTTGCTCTTCGGCTTCGGCTCCAACTTCTGAATCACTGAGAGGCAAACTAAACAAAACTATTCAATTTTTTTTGGCTTCATATCAACCGATTGAATGTTATTCCTAAAGCATAACGGGCACCAAAATTTAGATGGAGTCCCCCAAGTTGGGGCCTACATTTTCATTAAGCCGAAATGAAGACGAAACCAGGGTTTTGAAAAGGCCCCTATATATACGTGCACCTGCTGATGATAAAAACTCACCTGCTATTTGTGATGATCTAAATGGTCCCCAGAACGTTGAAAAGGACTGCACAATAGTGACTCTAAAATGGTTTGGAATAAAACAAATGAAGATAATCCGTAAATAAAGTCACAAATACACAAGCAACAAAAATGCTCAACACAAATTATATTGTATCTTCAGTACAGGCCCGTTCGGTGTCCTGCCCATGCAGCGCCGGGTGCAGTGTGAAACAAGGATCCCTTTGTATACACTTACAGAAATTCCACTGTCCTAGTACTGCTTGTTGGGGCTCTCCACGTGAAGGACAGGCTCGTGTCCGGCAGGTTGATGGAATGGGTGACCGTGTCCCGAAGCGCCGAGCAGGCCATGGTCCGTGTGTTACGCGGGAGGTTCTCCCATGTGCCTATGGGCGTGGACTGGCCGACCCCGCGGGCTTGAAGCAGAAAGCCCTTCATGCCCGATGTAGGCCCAGATAGAGTCACTACAACGACATAAGGGGTATAAGTCCACTATGATCGCCATGTTGGTTAAAAATATTAATAATAATAATAAAAATGATCGAATCAAACAAACACACAAAGCATGAATTTCGAGAGCTGTAAAGTTTTGGAGATGCTCTTACCCCGCTCATGTGATATCTGATGATTTGGATGTCATTTCAAAGAGAAATTCTAACCATTATAACAGTGGCGTATCCGGTGGGGTGGGTTAAGGGCCGGGGTTAAGGGGTAAGGGGGTATTTACCCCGCCCGCCACCCCCTCCCCCAATATTTTGTTAGTGCCTTTTTTTTTAAATTAACTACTGGCCTTTTCTCGTGTGAAATAATAAAAGGCACTCGTGCAAAAAGGGCACTCGTCAAAAAAGGGCAATCGTCAAAAAAGGGCAATCGTCAAAAAAAGGGCGCTCGTCCAAAAGGGCGCTCGTCAAAAAGGGACACTCGTGAAAAAAGGGCGCTCGTGCAAAAAGGCTACTCGTCAAAAAAGGGCACTCGTACAAAAAGGGCGCTCGTCAAAAAAGGGCGCTCGTCGAAAAAGGGCGCTCGTCAAAAAGGCTACTCGTCAAAAAAGGGCACTCGTACAAAAAGGGCGCTCGTCAAAAAAGGGCGCTCGTCAAAAAAGGGCGCTCGTCAAAAAGGGACACTCGTCAAGAAAAGGGCATTCGTAAAAAAAAGGTGCTCGTGAATGAAAAAAAGGTGCACTCACCAAAAAAACATAAGAAGGGTGCTCATGAAAAGGGGGGGGGGGGCTCGTAAAAAATACAATCACGAAAAAAAACCCGCCATTGTCCGATGGTGCTCGTGATCGTCCGTTTTAAACAGCGACCCCATGGGAGGATGGTGTCCAGCCAGATCTCCTCCCTCTTTTTGATTTTACGAAGGCCGGGTGGCCGGTAAAAAAAATACCCTGTCTACCGCTCAGCACAGATGAGGCGAGCATTGGCATCGCGAGGGTTGGGTGGGCAAGGGGGGGGGGGGTCCCCCCCCCCTCCGAATAAGCAACCAAAAAAAATGATAAATCGAGAATATGCTGGGAAAAGTACAGGGATTTCGGGGAGGAAATGTGCTCCCCCCCCCCCTCCAGAAAAGAAATCCTGGCGAAGCCCATGGAGGCGAGTGCCTTTTTTCATGTCTAACCCCCCCTAATAAAAATGAGCATGCTACTTCACTGATTACATGGATGGTTGTAGAATCGTGACAGTAACTTTACCACCAAACCTCCCAAAAACAGTTCGGATTTGAAATTATACCGGCTAATTGAACGTGCGTAGTCGTGTTCCATAAAAAGTGGTATCCATAAAGTGGCGTGTAATGATTATTTGGACACGCACAAGACGGATTCCCATATTGGAAAAAAAATGACCCAAACCTGCACTATATTATAGCTCTCAGATATTGCTCGACTAGGTATCACCCTATAGGCACGGTAAAATAGAACATTATAATAATACTACGAGAAGGGGCTTAAAACGTGCATGTTGTATGCCTATAATAATATTGTATGTAGTATAGAGTCAGACTGGATCCAACCCCCCCCATCCCTCCACCCCCGCCTTGAAATATCCGATGCTGCTAGTTCCTACCCATGTTGACAAGAAATCACCAATACTGTTTTATGTAAAGACGATTCCCCGTGCTATTTTCGAGTTGCCCCTCTAAAACAGATTTGTTTATTCAATTTCTATTTTCCTAGCAGTAGAAAAGTTATTCACTTTTGAATGAGACACCGAACGAAAAAAATCCACCGACGTTAGTTATTGAATTATTTCTTCACTCAATTCCAATAATTCGGCTCTCGCAGGGCGTGTTAGGCCTATTTGTGCACAAATGAAGTAGTGTTTTTTTTAAACAACACATAGGCCTACAAATTGAAAAATTGTTATAGGAGAACAAAAATCAATTCCTTGAAGAGTATGGTGTATTATTTAGTTACGTTACATAATTTTTAGAAAAGCCTGCTTCAAAGTGTTTACTACAGTCAGCCGGACTGAAACTCTATTTCTAGATTCAACAACTTATTTTCAATTCACTGCACTGTACTTTGCACCACATGCACAAAGAAACAGAATTTTCTTCTGGGCGAAATTTGACATGTAACGCTAAATATGAATTGATAAAATAGCCTATTTCAACATTTATGAAAAATCTAAATATTGCAGACGATTTTAAGATATTTTGGTACGGTGGAATTCCCCCAATTTGGAGACTTTATCGTCACAATTTCATCTCACATATCGAAATTTGTTTCGCAACATATAAATAATCTGGATTCCGAATTACAAAAACCAATTGTGCGACGGTGCGACCCTGTACTCCGCACTGAGCAAAAACGTCACAGTAAACAATCGATGCCGCCCAACTGTCGCATGCATGACTTGACACACGGCTGCTTAATTGGTGTACGCCAGCCTAGTTATAATGTGCAGTGGATATTAAATGAATGCTCTAGTTTCTCGCCTATCAATGTTATATAAACAGTCAGTGATTTGTATATGATTTATGCTTGCCACTGAAAACAGCTTGCAACAAAGAAAAATAGCTTTAATCGTTGAAAATTAAAATAGATTTCATTATAAAGATTTAATGATTTGAAGAGTGTTGCATAAAATAGGTCACCGACCAACGTCATAATGTTCACCGAATTTGTTTAACGATGGGTCCAAGGTAAACATAATGAAATCACTGAAAGCATCTGCAAACATACTTTTAGATTATGTTAATTGGGGTAAAAAAAATGTATCAATTGGTTTGGTATACTTGGTTTTGTTTAAAGAAGATACCGTAATTATTTAGCAATCATTGCCGAGAGATTTTTTTAGGTAATATAACCAGGAACCAATTGCTTTGGATACAATAATTATTATGCATACAAAGGAATATTATCTTAATATTGATAATTATAAAGAAATGACCAAACAATTCCAATATAAAATACGAGGAAGGAACTGTTCAAACACGTTTTGATGACTTTTCTTTCTCTAATTCATAATGTATTAATATTTTTTGAACTATTTTTGCGCGTTGAAAAAAAATACATCAGCATGCATGTACAGTGACTGCGATGTTTTCGAAGAGTGAAAATAAATTTATTATAATCATCTCAATGGCTACATTTCCATGTATGTCTAGAAACAAATTCATGCAAAGATACTTTATTAATGGAAGATCGGCTTCAAGGAAATTACCTGTGACGGTTCCACCCGCAACATACCGGGTCGCTCCGAGCTGTATCCGGTAAGGGTTGGTGGTCTGCTGTGGCGTGGCCGTGCCGTGCTGAGGAAGCAATGTCGTGCAGGCCTGTGACGGGGCACCGTTGGGTCTCGCTAAACATGGTTCGATAAGTATATGATCCAAAATAAAGAGTACCAACACGAACCGACAATTCTGTCTGAAATTCATCTTTTCCATGTAGATCTTTTCCCATATAAGATTCCACGGGTAAAATTCATCAGTTTCCGCACAGAAACTCACTCAGAAATGCTGCACGTGTATTTCGTTCACGCTATGCGCTATAATCGTCGGGTGTGTCTGGGGTTATAGACAATAATACGCGTAGCTGCCGGTATCAACAGGTGTAAAAATATCGAATGCTTATGTTATTCATTGCTTTATATTTAATAGGTTGGAAGGCCTTCTGCTCTGTTTATTCAGTTTGGTGTTATGCAGGGAAAGTTTTGCTGAAGTTGGATCATTGACGTGAAGATAGGCGTTTACTTCAAACAACAATTATTATGACGTCACTCAAATTATGGGCGATCAGAGATGTTAGCGGTTTGAGCAACAACCGTTCACTTTAATATCATTATTGTTACATAGTTACGTAGACTTTAATATCATTACTGTGACATAAAATCAAAATATCTATTGAAACAGATTTGTTTCTGATAGGTTGATATAGGCTGACGCTATAAATATTCTTAAAATGCTCTTCTAAACGCGGAGTGTTTCGTTCGATGTCTCATTTAAAAGTGAATAACCTTGTATAGGAAAATAGCAATTGAAAACACAAATCTATTTTTGGAGATGAAACTCGAAAAAAAGACAGGGAACATATCTTTAATTTCTTCAGTAACAAGTTTTCCGTATTGAAAAGGTCACTTTGAAAACTGCAAACCGCCAACGCGTTCGGGGTAAATTAGGTGAAACAGATGCGAATGATTTCTAATTAGGTTATTAAAAACTTAACCCTCCGGCGCAGAATCTAGCCCTTTTGGGGACCCAATTTGGTTAATTACCTTAATTAAAAAAAATATTTCAAACCAATTCTGGTGATCTTCCATCCAATCCTAGCACGAGACACCCTCTACGGATATATGCAGTCACCTTTAGTGTGTGACCCCGGGTCAGGCATATCTGAGCATGACAACCTGGGCTAAGGACCGACGCAATTTCTGCCCATCCGGGGACCCACCATATGCACGCGCACAAAACAACTCCGACGCAATTTTTGCCCATCCGGGGACCCACCATATACACGTGCACAAACAAGGTCACTTGCGAGTAGACAGTGCACTATGGCACGCCAAAGCGGAATTTATTCAACCCTTCACGGCAACTGCCAACATTATGAAATACATCACAACTTTTTTGAAAAGTATGTCAACAGTGTAAAAAATATGTCAACATTTTAAAAAAGTTTGTCAACATTGTAAACAATATGTCAACATTTCAAAAACGCATGTCAACATTTAAAAAATATATGTCAACATTTCAAAAACTTATGTCAACATTTTAAAAATATATGTCAACATTTAAAAAATATATGTCAACATTTTTAAAAATATGTCAACATTTAAAAAAAAATTATGTCAACATTTTTAAAAATGTGTCAACATTGTAAACAATATGTCAACATTTCAAAAACGTATGTCAACATTTCAAAAATATATGTCAACATTTCAAAAACGTATGTCAACATTTAAAAAATATATGTCAACATTTTAAAAAATATATGTCAACATTTCAAAAACGTATGTCAACATTTCAAAAATATATGTCAACATTTTTAAAAATATATGTCAACATTTCAAAAACGTATGTCAACATTTAAAAAATATATGTCAACGTTTAAAAAAAATATGTCAACATTTAAAAAAAATTATGTCAACATTTTAAAAAAATCTATGAATACAAGCTATATCAAGATTCACGGACCAACGAGTTCGATTACCTCTAGCTCTCAGCGGAATGAGGTTGCAGCAGCTTTAGTCTGGTTCCAAAAATTCCCTTAGGGGTGCACTGAGCCAATTCAAGCCCCATTGAAAACAGTGTAAAATCAACAAAGCTCAGGGCCAAATAACATGCAAGCCGACATCACTGGAGTTTCTCAAACAAAAATTAAATTATTGTCTTGTACTTCATCTTTTCATTTCTTTTCGATTTTGGGTAGACTAGCCGATTACATTTTTAAATATTCACACCAAAACAAAATTACGGCGCTCCGTGAGTGCCATCCACTTCTTTATTTACTCAGATAATTTATCACGTCATGTTGACATATCGCCGAGAGTAAGGCGACTTATAATCACATAATTGTATCGCTAAGTCGACTTACCGTAGTCAACTTGACGACTTGTCCAGATGTATTATCTCGCCAAGTCGACTTACCGAAGTCGACTTGGTGACTTGTCCAGATGCATTATCTCTCCAATTCGACTTTCCGAAGTCGAGATGACGACTTGTCCAGATGTATTATCTCGCCAAGTTGACTTCTCGAAGTCGAGATGACGACTTGTCCAGATGAAATATCTCGCTAAGTCGACTTCCTGAAGTCAAGATGACAACTTGTCGAGATAAATTATCTTGCCACGTCGACTTACGATGTGGAGATGATGACATGCAAAAATCTCGTTCTGTATGGATATCCCGTTGTTGAAGCACTGTCGTGGATTCTTTCTTGTTCGTCGGTGCATTTGAGGTTTTCCCCACCCGTTCTTATGTGAACAATAAATTGGCAGAGGAACAAGAGATAAACTGTATAGGGTATTGTTTTGATCTGGGTCGAAGTTGATTTGTGTTTTTTTTTATTTTCAACTTGTTTTAAATTACTCCCCCAAGCTTCGTAGGAAATCACACCTCTGCCTTATTTTCCCCTATTTATCCCGTTGAAAAGTAATTCACTTCACGTTAAACATTAACAATCATAAATTCACAAACATGTCTTTATTTACAGGTTGCCTAAAAATGACACTTACAAATCCAAGATTTGTTTTAAATCATATTGAGATCATATTTAAGATAAAACGACTCTCACGGCTTAAATTGGAATAGAGGAAATTTAGCAAAACTCTTGTCTGATATATTTAATAAAAAGTCACTATAAAAGCTCTTATTGCCAACATTAAATCTGGGGCACTGAAGACAAAGACAAATTTGTGTTAATTTCAAGATTTGAAATGGGGAGCGCCGGGGGGGGGGGGGGCATTTGTTGCAGGACATTATATTCTTTTACATTTCGTTCGGAAAAGAAAAATCGAAATTTTGAAAAAGCACGTATATAATTATACCAACAATAACCTTTCAAATTCCCAAAACTATACAATCATGCTTGCATGTTCGTCAAGCTTAATAGCTTCTCCATAGATGATAATACCCAAACGCTTTGCATCAAAGCAACAATACCTTTTCAATGAAAACAACTCTAATGACATCATTAATCATCCGTCTTTGTGCCGCTTCATGTGTGGAAAGGAAATAGACGAGCAGACGTTTTGCATTTTTTATGAACATCAACAAAAGAGACACAACCATTAGTTGCCTCTGCACGCCGCATTTTGATCAAATTTTCAGTCTCGGTGTCGTCGGGTATTAGTTTCTAGGAATGCTATTTAATAATTAAGAAATATCAAGCCCGTTTGCGAAAATAATTTACACGTTTCAAAATGTACCACAAACGTATTGACACTCAACTTTCCTTTAGTTCTAATTTTACATGTCTTTGTGTGTGTTTACTCGACTAAATCACAGATGTCCCCGGTTCAATGCCCCATGAGTTTGTAAGCTGGATAAACACAATCTACAAAGAAATAAATTTCGTGGAATGTTTTGGTTTGTTGTTTTATATTTTAATAACATCACAATGATGTACATGTAAATAATAGTTGATGACTTATTTTGAGGTAAAATTAAATGTTCTTGTGGCAATAAAAAAGACAAGTCAAGCCTAGCCAAGCTTTTCCCAAATCATAAAAAAAAATTATGTTCAATTGGTTCCGAATGGCTATTCAATTGAGGCCTTTGCATGCATCTGTGTACACAATAGCCCATTCGTGTGACGTTACGGGGTAATCCTGTACAATAGTACTACCCAGCGCCCCTACTCCGACACCCCGAGAAATTATACTGGTATTATACGCCTTTCCCCAACATACGGACAGAACCTGCTGGGTTAGGGGGTATTTGTACATATCCCGTAACATATTGTTAATTATCTTCGGATTTGAACAGCGACCGCTTTGAAAGTATGGTACGAGCCCCCCCCCCCCCCCCCCCCCCCCCCCCCCCACTAATGATTTTAAGGAGCCCTATTGATTTTAAGGAGCCAAGTGTCCGGACAAAAAAACCTGTCTACATTTTAGTATTGATTTGCTGATGAACCCCCCCCCCCCCTACACAAAAAATCCTGGTTCCGCCCCCGATTGTTGTTGTGCATATACGGCAATTATTTCCGTCTACAAGGTGATTTAAATGCAATCAAATTTGATACACAAATTTGATACAATGAAGTATGTCTAATAAGAGCATGTTCTTCCACTCATCTGAAAAAAAAAACAGTTACTGATATTGATCAATGCCAACAGAAGTTATGCATGTTTTACTTAAAGAAAGCATTTTTATAGCTCTCCTTGGAGTGCCATTGAGCGTAGTGATAATACACACAAGCATTCATTAAAATGAGATATTAATAATTGAAATCAAAACCATTGTTTTTACTGTCAGTTGTAATGGTTTGCATATGAAGAACAAGTCAACTCTTTTTCTTCTGAAATGTTGTTAGCGATATAAAAATCCTTTGTAAGTTCTCGTTCATTCATCGAGGTGGGAAAACGTCCATGTTTCATAATACTCAATGTGTATTAACCAGTTCGTAGAATTATCAGAGGTGGACAGCCGAGTTTCTGTGATCTTTTTATTCAAATAGACATAACGTGAGATTTGAAGGTCTGCATGGTGGAAAGATACTAAGACAAGAAAAGTTTGCGGTAGCACCATGTGAATAACATTCTCTTGACGACGGGCAGAGCATACTGTTCGAAAAGTTGAGTCCCTCGGTTCTTTTCAGAACCACACATACTCACAAAAGAGATTTATTCACATGGTGCTACCGCAAACTTATCTTGTTTTAGACATAACACGGGAATAAAGTATGCAAATGACGTGAAATGTTCACAGTTAAAAGTCAATAAGATGTAATTGATCATTTTTTCATAATGAAATTGAGCAAGCCGAATATTTTTAAATATTTTCATTTTCTTTTTTGACTCCCCTG